CAATACATTATCTATTACGTACCTGGGCCGGGATACCCATTTCCAAGCGCCTCTGATCCGGGTGGGCTAATACTCCCCTCCGTGTCCTTTATAAAATCATGACTTTACGTCATGTTATTAGTAAAATCCGTTAATTTTATTAAAGGACACGGAGGCTCATATTAGGCTAGTTTAAAGCTGAGAGATAACTACTCTGGACACGTGGTCTGTGGGTCGAAAATAATATTCCTTAAATGTCGACTCACAAGACCAATCTGCTGTTCTCAAGAGATCCTCCAATCTGCAGCCCGAACTGAAAACTTTTGACGCCATAGCGCCCCTGGTAGAGTGTGCTCCGTATACAGTAGTATCTACGTGCGCCAGAGCCATTACCCATTTCACCCACCGACGAGAGTCACCGTTGATACTGGGTGATGAGGTCGTTTGGTAGCCAAAAACAATTCCGGATGCATCGGATTTCTGAATCCCCAGGTTCGTTTCTCATATTCCCGTAGGCAGTTTACTGGACAAAGTTTGATGTTATGTGGGAACGAGGGGTATGAAACTGAAGTAATTGCCGACTTAGTACGCCTGGAGATGTTGAAGGAAACTCCCGTGGGGGTAAAGGAGCGTGTCACAACATCCAGTGCTCTAACATCAGACACACTCTTGCAGGAAATCAGGCAAAAAAGCATGGTCAATTTCGCTCGTTTTCATGGGGGCCCCACGACCTCAGGTGTGACAGTACGTACCCTGTTCCTCATTTCAGTTTTGGAGGTATGATTTCCCATGTAGTGAGTTTTCCTCACAGCTTTACGGCCCTCTTTGTGTACAGGGCCCTCTTCTGTGACTCTGCCAAGGGGTCCCTTAGGGTTGGCTGCCTTAATAGTAGTTGAAATAGAGTGGGATATGTTGTCAGACATAACCCCCATTGCGGTATAGATAGCCTGGGTAACTGATTTGGACATGGTGGCGTCCAGGAGCGAGTAGAACTCCTCTGAGTCCAAATGCTCCAGGGGGGGTCACCATGTCCCCTTGCAGGGTGGGGGGTGCAGACACCAAGGTCCTGTTGGCGTCCCCCTTATCACTGGGGCCAGGGGCAGAGTACTCAGTAGGGGTCTGCATCTTGGGCCAAATAAGGGAATGAGGCAACTATAGCTAATGTGACACTGAAGTGTGCAGGCTGAGTAAGGGGCTAAAGACAAGGCAACAGAAAAAACCACAGTAACAAACCAGCAGCTTGTACTGTCAGGAATGGCCTCTGGGGACACTGGCAGGCTGACAGGAAAGCTATTTGTCCAATCAGCTCACGCCCTGCTAGTGGGCTGTGAGCTGAGCAGGAGAAAAAGAGCGGCAAAAACGTTTGCTACCGCCCCTTTAAGATGACCGTGTGTGGCAGAGACCGCGCATGTGCCTGCGGCCGTTCACCCGCGCGGTGTTGTGGCTGGGGAAACCCCTGAGAAGAAACCGGGCTCTTCCCAGGGGGTTCCCCACACTATGCGACCGGGAGGAGCAGGCAATAAACTACCCGGCAGTCTGCACGGAGCCGGTACCCCGCCAGGGGGGGGGCGGGAGGGGGGCGGGGCACCTGCAGGGAACGTGGAAAAAAGGCTACAGACAGAGAGGAGTCCCTCAGGGGCTATCAAGCAGCAAACGCTGTGGAAAAATACCAGCAAAGTACAACAAGTGAATACAGAAAACATACACAGAACATACACAAAATGGAGTCAGGGAAAAACAGTGATACTTAGCTGAGGCAGCAGCAAAGAAAGAGAGGGAGAGGAGGAGGATAGAGGAGAGGATATTAGAGAAGGACTGTTCCTATTGGTGGGAAGATGGTGATGTAAGGTTAACCCTGTGACGGGAGTTATGCATGTTTCTTTTTTTCTCTACAAATAAACACATTAGCTTTCTTTGCTGCTGAGGAAATAAAAGAAAGAGATAAGCCTAATACTCGCCTCCGTGTCCTTTATAAAATCCTGTGTTATTACTCGAAACCGCAAGCTAATTGAGTGCTCCTGGGTGGCTGCCATTTCGGGATACGAACACATGGCGAGAACAATGGATGGCGGCCATCTTAAACTCCCTTAGATACCCAGGGATATGGTTTTTATATTGATATGTTATATATAAAGTATGTTTCTAATAATTGTGAAAAATTTTAACTTTTCTGGCCACTAGATAATTGAGTTTGATAAGTGCTCAAACCCAATTATCTAGCCTGGCCCAGAGGAGGAGTTATGTACTGTATAAATTGTGTGCCCTGTTTCTCAGTAAATCAGACTGGTTCCAGCATTAAGCTTTGGCTCATGTGTGAATTATTCGGCGATACCAGCAATTTATTACTCTGTGTATTACTTGGTGATTTTATTTAATGGGAAGAAGGGAATGCTTGACGGAGTAAAGGATTGTACCGTCACAAGTCCTAACCTCAACATATTAGGAAAGGGATTTAGGGGTGATTATTTCTGATGACTTAAAGGTAGGCAGACAATGTAATAGAGCAGCAGGAAATGCTAGCAGAATGCTTGGTTGTATAGGGAGAGGTATTAGCAGTAGAAAGAGGGAAGTGCTCATGCCATTGTACAGAACACTGGTGAGACCTCACTTGGAGTATTGTACACAGTACTGGAGACCGTATCTTCAGAAGGATATTGATACCTTAGAGAGGGTTCAGAGAAGGGCTACTAAACTGGTTCATGGATTGCGGGATAAAACTTACCAGGAAAGGTTAAAGGATCTTAACATGTATAGCTTGGAGGAAAGACGAGACAGGGGGGATATGATAGAAACATTTAAATATATAAAGGGAATCAACACAGTAAAGGAGGAGACTATATTTAAAAGAAGAAAAACTACCACAACAAGAGGACATAGTCTTAAATTAGAGGGACAAAGGTTTAAAAATAATATCAGGAAGTATTACTTTACTGAGAGGGTAGTGGATGCATGGAATAGCCTTCCAGCTGAAGTGGTATAGCAAGCAGGTCAAACTCGCGGCCTACTGGCCGCATGCGGCCCACAAGGACCATCTTTGTGGCCCAGTGAGCCGCGAGTACATGCTGGTGTTATAGCGGAGTAGGCTCCTGCTTTCCCCATACTGCAGGTGCCTACTCTGCTAAAACGTACCCGGCCGGGGAGGAGGGCCAGCGAGGGAGCTCAGTGTTCCTGCTCGGTAAACCCGAAGCAGCACTCTGACTTATTTAATGAGGGAGCGTTGAAAGTGGTCTACACAAATACGGTGCAGACCGCAAGCTCCCTGGAAGGATTTAACTGTTACGCAGTACGTTGTGCATGCTGCTGGGAGGTAGATGGCTAGGCGTCCTCCCATGACGCGACACCCAGCAGCCATGACATCATCATTTCATAACGTGACATCATTTCATAGCGTGACGTCATTTCACAACGTGACGTCATTTCATATTTTAATAGTTTTAGTTTGGTAAAGGCTGACGTGGCGTACGGACGCAGATCTGCAAACCTTAGGCCAAACGACCCAAAACACACTTTCTGATTCGGCTATTTTAGTGTAAAATGCTAATTTCTCCATAATTCCCATTTTTAGTGAATGGACCTGTGGATTTAGACTGAATATTGTGATGTGAATTGCCATAAACTCTGACATTCAGACACTGAAAGCAAGCTGTGAGTGGTGTTTATCTCCTGTTTAATTTATCTCCTGCTTAATGCAGGGTCACTAATAAAACCTATTTTCTCACAGTCTGGTAACTGTCTCTCAGGACTACAAGTCCCTCAACACTCGCACCATCCGAAAGCTGGAGAAGGGTTGGAAAGATGTCGCAATGATTGACGGGAGTTGTAGTTCGCCATTGGATAGGTCAGGACAGAAGCCGAGCACCGCAACTCCCAGCATGCTTTGCGGCGGCTAGACGCTGAGCCGCAGTAGCTGGCGGGCCGCGCTGGCTCATGGGAGCTGTAGTGCTGCCGGGCGCCATCACAGCAGTCGGCCGTTGAGCCGAGCAGGAGAGGAAGGCCAGGCCCAGCCATGTCTCTGGTGGCCTATGCCAGCAGCGAGGAGAGCGGCTCGGACACGGAGCTGGCCGGGGAGCCCCCACACTCCAGCCCCCAGGCCGAGGCCTACCCTGGGCCCTATGGAGAGCAGGAGCAGCACAGCCCGAGCCTCTATGGGCCCCCAGGGGCCTTCGGCTTCCCGCCAGGATACGGCCCCCCGCCTGGCTATGGACCCTCCGCCTACCCGGGCAGCCAGGGCCCAGCCATGTATGGCAGCTATGGCCATAGTAACAGCCAGGGGCCAGGCTCCTCCAGCTACCCCAACATGGGGCCCTACAGCCTCCCCCCACCACCTGTGGGCCATGGCATGAACCTCCCCCCACCACCACAGGGGGGTCCAGGCATGAACCTCCCCCCACCACCACAGGGGGGTCCAGGCATGAACCTCCCCCCACCACCACAGGGGGGTCCAGGCATGAACCTCCCCCCACCACCACAGGGGGGTCCAGGCATGAACCTCCCACCACCTCATGGAGGTCCAGGCATGACCCTCCCACCACCACAAGGAGGTCCAGGCATGACCCTCCCACCACCACAAGGAGGTCCAGGGATGAACCTCCTACCACCACAAGGGGGTCCAGGGATGAGCCATCCCCCTATGCAAGGGATGAACCTTCCCCCACCACAGAGGGGTCCAGGAATGAGCTTGCCCCCTCCACAAGAGAGTCCAGGAATGAATCACCCCCATCCTCAAGGAGGGACAAGAATGAATCTTCCTCCTCCGCAAGTGGGCTCGGGACTGAACCTTCCTGCTCTGCATGGTGGCCCAAGAATGAACCTCCCCCCTCCACAGGGGGCTCCAGGAATAAACCTCCCCCCTACACAAGGAGGTCCAGGACTGAATCTGCCACCCCCACAAGGGACATCAGGAACAAACCTCCCTCCACCTCAAGGTAGTCGTGGAATGAGTCACCCTCCCCCACAAGTTGGCCCTGTGATGAGTCACCATCCTTTACAAATTGGGCAAGGGATGAATCTTCCACCACCTCAAAGTAGTTTAAACATGCCTCCACCACATAGCAGCCATGGACTCAGCTTACCTCCTCCTCAAAACAACCATGGTATGAACATGCCACCTCCACCAGGAAGCCCTAATCTTTCTCTTCCTCCACCAGTTGGTGGCCATGGGATGAACATACCACCACCGCAAGTCGGTCCTGGACTTAATATACCACCTTCACAGTTAAGTCCCACATCCAACATTGTTGGGGATTCTCGTCTGTCTCTACCCCCTCCTAAAGCGTCTTCTCATGGATTAAATCTCCCCCCACCAGCCACTGAAAACCTAAAACCAAAGAAGAGGAACGAACCAGTGAAAATCAGTGTCCCCGAGCTGACTTCTGTTGGTGTGAGTATCCCGGCTCGTGTCTTATGACCACTTTATGCTGGAAGACTAAGAGCTATATACTGTGCTTATTTCTCCACCCCGAGTATTATTACAGCACTAGTTCAATGCAATGTCCTCTGCATCATGTTGGAAAATAGCCCACACTGAGGTTTTGGTGACATAACTAGTGACAAAAAAGTAGATCTGGCTTAAATAATTGAATTGGAAAAGGAATACAATGGTTACTTCGTACAGCTAAAGTAATAAGCTAGTTTTTTCTAAGAGCTATCTCCTATATCAGTATGTTCTCTCCTGGTGGAGTCAGGAAAGGGATTAAAAAAACAGCCACGTTGTGAATTGAAAGTAGTTTTATTATATATTGCAAATTAACAGTACAGTACAATGAGTAAAGCAGACACGTGGGTGGATGGTTAACCACACAGATTAGTAGGATTAGGGGATACCATGGTTACAAATGTTCAATAGCAGAATTTATATAATCTAAGTAATTATTTATTATTATTTTTAACCCCATTTTCTTCAGATCTGCGTTAATCCAGATAATGGCAGAATTAGGTGTGCTAAGGACAATAACAGTGAGCAGGAAAAACAGCAGAAACCCCAGGATTTCTTACTTCTGTTACATTCACTTAACTGTCCATGGATGGTGTAGATTTGGTCACGTGGCTGCTTTTCCCATGATGAATTGTAATACACAATAAAGCTGCTTCATTTAAAGGGACATTGTAGGCTCCCAGAACACCTCAGCTCATTTAAGTGGTCTGGGTGCAATGTCCCTTAACCATACAGTGGTAATTATTGCAGTTTCTGAGAAACTAATGGCATCGCCAGAATTCCCAAAGGAAAGCATTGAATAATGCTTTCCTATGTGGAAATCCTAATGCGAGCACGGCCATTGCACATTAGGTCTCCCTCGCCAGCTGACGGCAACAGGGGAAGAGCGTGGGTCGAGCCTGACCCAACGCTGGATTCAGGTAAGTGGCTAAAGGTGTTTTAACCCCTTCAGCGCCGCTGGAGGGGGGCACTGTAGGAACCTATAGTGGCACTATAAAATCCCTTTAATGCTATTTAGGATAAGGGCTTCCCTCAGAAGGAATAAAATACAATGATTAGCTTACCTGGTGCACCGGTCTTGCCATTGCTCCCTTGGCTGAAATAATTATCTCAGCCAATCCAATGCATCCTCACATTGAAGCTTGGGGGGGGGGGACGACTAATGTACATTAAGTAAAGACTGCTCCATGGGGAGCGTTTAGCGTCTCCATGGTGAACGTTGGTGCTGCAAGCATTGCAGGAACGCATCCAGGAAGCCCCTCTGGTGGCTGTCTGTGTGAATGATAATGGTGGCATTAGTATGTAATGTCAGCACTGCCTTTTCTCAGAAACAGAGACAGTGTTTACATTGCTGCAGGGACAGTCTTTTTGCCCCACGAGTATTTTTTTTAATTCTTTATTTACGTTGACATATATTACAAATACTTTTCCGGTACATGTTCTAGCACAATGCGGTACTTAGTATACATTGTAGATAACATGGGTTTTGTACATTTGGTATATGTTCAGACATTGATTGGTAATCGAAAGCATATACATAACACTCTCAAGCAAGTACATCAGGCCCAACTGCATTGTTTGTGCTATTAAGTTTCATATGTCTGGTAGGCAATAATTCGCATAAATAACTTAGACCACACAATAAACACAGACATCGTTCATTTTATTTCAATGGGCTTGGCCGTGGTGTTTATTAAAGCTTGAAAATGTGGCATACCACCAGTAACTTGATAACGGTAACATATTCAGGTAAACTTTTCACTTCAACTTTTACTTTCACCATCACTTAGTGCCAGTCAGTCATAGCTAACTTGACCGCCTTATAAATACAACCATTTAACACATATCCTTCCTCAGAACTTGAACCTGAGGGTGACTTTTACCCCAAGCTTCCAACACCACGACATAACATATAAACACATTTAACAATTAGTGGGAGGGAGGGTGGGTGTCCGTCGGTGCTTCCCCCATCCTGTAGAAAAGACAGCTGACAGGGATTGCCTTGCACTGTCACCTTTTATACTTACCTGGTTTCCCGCTCTTTTTCTGGCTCACTGACAGCAACCAATCATCAGCCAGTTCTTGTCCCCAGCAACAGCTGTCACCTAATCTGCCCAGCTACTTGTCCCACTCTACCCAACAAGATGATCAGGGGTCATGAACTTACACTGACCTATTAACCCTCTATTGCCACCACACATATATGCCACAGTGCTTAGTGCCTGTGGCTTCTTTTTTGTCAACTTTCCCAGAAGCACTATATTAACTGTAGTGGTTCTAGTGCTTAGTGTCTCTGTAATCCACAGTCAGACTGTAGGTAGTCAGCCAATCAGTAAGTCTCCTCCATGTCTATCAGGGGCACTTCTTTGAAGGTTTTGCTTTTTTATATGCTTGTAAGGTACTATTATTCTGTTTAATTTAAAGGTACACTGTAGGCACCAGAATAGCCTCAAATAATCAAATTGGTTATGGTGGCTGAAACCATGGAACATGCTAATAATCTGACCCAAGATAATTTTGGTTAGCCTGGAATAAGTGCTTATTGCAGGTGCTATATGACCATGAGTCAGTGTAGGGTGTGCATGCGCTGTTTGTACTTGGAGTCGCTCAGTGGTCTAATTTCTTGGCAAATGTCTGTTAAAAGAAATTAGGCCACCGAGTCAGCTTTAATCCGACTCGTGACACCATCACACCAGGAGAATAGCGACTTGGCTTATCAGGGAGATACTTCCTTAGAATCACGTTTGAATATAATCAGAGAATGCTCACTTAGTAGTACTGTTTTAAATAATCGCTTGAAATCTATAATATGTGAAACACAAATATACATGAATTGGTTTCACTTCAGCCCTTTCTCTTCCTTTTCAGTCTGATTCAGAAGATGATGAGCCAGTTGTGAAGAAAACAGCCATTCAGGTAAGTTTCATGGTAAACAAGGCTAACTTAAAGGGTCACTATAGTCACAAAACAACTTAAGCTTAATGAAGCAGTTTTGGTGTATAGATCATGCTCCTGCAATCTCACTGCTCAATTCTGTGCTTTTTAGGAGGTAAATCACTTTGTTTATGCAGCTTTGTAAGTATACCCAGCCTCCCTACCGATGGGAGAGTGGGAGTGGATCCTTTTCCTGGGGTCCAGTGGAGCTGCTATGATCCTGTAATCTTCAAGCTCTGCTCCTTCATGCACTCCAGGGCTGGAGCGCATCACTGTATGGTGTGCGAGGAGATTACAGCTCCCTCACTGCACCCGCATCCATTGCTCACAGTCGACCACATTGGAGCGGACCTAGGTAGCCAGCATACCAGATCTTGGCCCCCAGGACAGGCAGAACACAGCGATTCCTGTAGTTCTGCCACGTTACGCGCATCAGTAGGAAAAGGTGCAAGTAGCGTTGAACAGGCTGACAAACACCCAGGCACTAGGACTAAAGTCCGAGTCTCCATGGTGACCTGGCTCAGTGTCCCCTTTTTTATATTTCATTTTTTTATTTGGTTTTCATTGGTATGCAATACAAAGAACAGTAATTCAAAGTGTTAAATTGTTACAGATGAAAATTGTGCAATAAAAGTTTTGCATTTGTAGTACATGAATTTCATCTTAAATATAGACAGACCATTAGCTGAGTTTTAGTTACACAGTAATATTTTCCATAGTTGTGTATTTTGTCTATATTTGTAATAGCAACTTCATTTGCAACAGTAAATTTGACATCTGGTGTGTATCTTGCATCGGGTTATTCGGTGTATATGTGTCACAGTTTCTTGAGGAGTATCTAGTCATCACATGTGTATATTTTGTGGAGCGACATGGTATCTGTCTCGTTTTTCCCATGTGAGCCTCTATGTATGTGTAAGTGTTTTACTAATTCTACTCCGTCTGCTACTGGCTTTTGGAGTTGGCTACCTAAGAAAGCCTGCGGATCTGTGTCTGCTTCAGCCAGCAAGAAATTGGTTCACTGTCCCCAGGTTTGTGTGTATTTAGTATAGTTTTTAGCAGTGGCGTATATGATTTCTTCCATTTGTCTCACTCCCTCTACCCTTTGAACCCATTCCCTGACTGAGGGAGATTCAGTCTGTTTCCATATGGCGGTATGAGCTGGTTTGTTGCTAAAAGAAGGTGGGTGGTTAAGGGTGTATTTTGTCTGTCGTCGTCAGGGAGGGGTGGCAGAAGGAATAGCAGGTAATACGGTGAGGATGGCATTTGCACTCCTGAAATCATTTGTGTAAGTGTTTATGCGTCTCCAGTATTTGGTTATTGTTGGACACTGCCACCAGATGTGTGCCGGGTGAGCATCAGGTTGTTGGCATCTCCAACATTCGTCCCTGACCTCATTATGTAGTTTGTGTATTTTTTTTTTTTAGTATTTTCGCTGGGGTGTAGTGCCAGAGAGTGATGCGTTTGTAGTTACTTTCTTGTGTGGTGATATTCGTAGATGTCTTATGTGCCCTGAGAAATATCATTTGCCACTGGTCATGTGTTATGTCTAACTGTAGTTAGTTTGACCATTTCCCCGTGAGCCTCGGGAGATCAGGTGATTGTTCGTTTTGTAGGAGCATGTACATAGTGGAGAGTGTCTTCCGTTTAAGGGGATGTGTTAGGCATAGCTGCTCGAAAGCCGGTTAAAGTGGTTGAGCTGTGTATAGTAGAGGTGTTTGTGTGCCCATGGGGGAGCGCATATCTTTTGGTTTGTTCCCCCTGAACTACGTCCTGAAGCCTTAAATATGGCCTGTCAAGGCTAAGTTGTCAGTGTCCCTTTTTTATCATGAATCCAGCTGTGTTAAGTGCTGCATTGGAATCACTTTCATACATAGTTTCAAACCAATGGTAGATGGTTATATGACGCATCCTAAACAAAAGCTGCATTAGAACCCCGACAGATGGTCATGTGACGCATACTAAACCATAGCTGCATTAGAACCCCGACAGATGGTCATATGAAGCATACTAAACCATAACTGCATTAGAACCCCGACAGATGGTCATGTGACACATATTAAACAATAACTGCTTGAGAACCCTGACAGATGGTCATGTGATGCATATTTAACAATGACTGCATGAAAACCCTGACAGATGGTCATGTGACGCAGTCCTAGCGAATAGCTGCATGAGAACCCCGACAGATGGTCATGTGACGCAGTCCTAGCGAATAGCTACATGAGAACCCCGACAGATGTTCCTGTGACGCAGTCAAAGCGAATAGCTACATGAGAACAGATAATTTGATACATTGAGTGTTTAGTGACTTGTCTATCACAGGGAGCACTCAGCAAGTCCTAGGACTTTGTTTATGGCAGTAAAGTGTCATTGTGGAGGTTCTCCTGCTTTGTGAAGTGTTCCTCAGGCAGGAGACAAGGACTGGAGGCAGATGTTACATTATGGTGACACTCACTAACTGCAGATATAGTGGCGCTGGACTGAAGGTAAGTAAGATATTTACGGTATTTTGGAGGAGTCAAAAACATTCGGCAGTGTTTTTTTTGTTTTTAACTCCTTCCTTGCTGTCTTATCACTGTACTGTACAGTATGTGTGATCAGCAGGCTCTCTGATCAAGCTGGCTTTGGATCGGGTGTTTGTTTTTGTGTGGGTGGAAGTGGGAATTGGTGGTTAGGTATGGTAGTGGGTATTAAAATATTTGCAGGTAGGCAAATTAAATTAATAGAAAATATGAGCTATAGGGAGCATCCTCAACTTCAAGGTGCTATATAGTGGGGGAAAAAGAAGACCAAAAAAGGAATATGGTGCAGTATGTCAGAACTTCAGTTTAAAGAAACATGAGATACAGTGAAAAGAGCTATCGCTTGGCTCCCAATGTAGCGCCTCTGCGGTACAATCCCCGTCTGTGGTTATTGGTCTGCAATCTTGATCCAACAAAGTGTGATATAGTTCTGCAATATAAACAGAAAAATGCCAAAATGGTATAGTATGTCAGGAGACCAAAAGAAATGACATTTTGTATAAGGGTGCGCTCACATTTGTTGGAGCCTTCGATGGCTCCTTGTACAAAGCCTGGAGTGATATGATCCCCACTCTTGCATATTTGTACAGAATACTTTTTTTGGGTATGGTTAGGTAAGTTCCTCGCCATGAGTATAAAAGCAAAAATTAAATTATAGTGTACACTTTAAAAAAATACTGTTTCTTATATAAATATTTGATGTGAAATGAAAACCCTGTTTCTCCTCAACAGAATGATATATAATAAGTGTGGGTGTATATGAAATAGGTATATTATGGTTGGTTGTTTTGGTCAGAACTTGTACAATGCCTTCATCCTTAAGGGGTTAAGCTGTAACTAATTTCTGATATCACTTTTGAAATGTCTCTCATTTTTCACTCAGGCACCAAGGGAAGGGTTTGGCTTGTCTGCTTTACTTCCTCAGCCCAAAAATCCATCTGGTGGCGATTCAAAGAGGCCTACCCTCCCTTATAACTTTACCAAGAAATCTTCAGACTCTCTGAACGATGCAAAGCTTCCCAAAACTGCTCCTCCTACAAAGTCCAATCTAACACCAAAACCCGAAGTTTCTCACACCCCATCTCCGTCTGCCATTAAAGCTGCGGCCAAGAATGCTGCCCTACAAGTCACCAAGCATATCACGCAGGAAGAGGACGAGGAGAGTGACGATGAAGTTCAACAAGGCAACTTCTTCTCCCTTTCGGACTCTAATGAGACTCCTTCTATGAACACTGAAAGCTTCTCATACCAAGTCGCTGATCTCAGTAACGACAGACCCCCAGGAACTGAGCCCGACGAGTATCAAAGTGATGCAGCTAATGCTCCTTTAGATTTCAAAACGAGTGCTTCTGTGGGCTCCAACCAGCCGTGGTCATCTACAGTTACTGAAGAATACAGCGGCCAGTACAACCAGTACCCAGAGTACAGTAATCCTGGAGCTACTTTCTATCCAGTAAGTTCTGTCTTATCACTTCAGATTCAGATAAGTTGTTCTGGTTTACTCGCCATTTAGCAGAAATCCGTCCACGACAGCCCAGCCCCCCCATTGTTGAAAAATGGAGATGCTTTCCATTTACCAGCCGAAGCAGGAAGTGAAAGGCTGACAGTGTCCACTAAACGCTCTGACACTCATTGCCCCAATACCTGGGATGAAGTGCAGTGGCAGCCCTGTCTGCCATATTGTAATTGGGGAGTAAGGATCTCTACTAAATCATAAACTGTTTAACAGTGATGCAAATCCTTGTGCCTACTGTCTCAAAGCACCATAACCACTTCAATCAGTTACATTGGTTTTAAAGGTACACTCTGAGAACCATAAACACTACATAACATTTTAGTGTTTGTGGTGCTAGGACTACCCTGCGGCCATTCAACTGTTAGAACATTTCTGAACAGTGGTCTACGTCTGTCAGTTCCTTCTTCTGCAATAGTGATATCAATTCTGTCTGTCTTTGGCCAGAAATTTAATCCTCGATAGTCTTGACTGGAATATTTAATACGAAAGGGCAATTTCCTCTTCGGGTTAACTGTAAAGAGAGAGAGATGGTAGGTGACTGTGAAACCCACCCCGGTATGTGTCAAACTGTTTGAAAACTGCGGAACATTGCCTTGAGTCACCTGACAATATAACTACTATAACTGGGTGCAGTGATTATGGTGCTTACAGATGTGAGGCCTTCACCGTTACAATACATCTTAACATCCTTAGATATGATCTACATGAATGTTTACCCCTGTTAATTTATTCCACCCATTAGGGAGGGCCTGTAGGGGAGATGATCTGAGGACTGATTAGGCATCATCAATGAGGCGTGAGGAAAATAAATCCCTACATAAAAAAAGACAACTCCCCAAACTAGACTGTCTTCCTATAGTTTCATGTGCAAGAGTTTTGTTCGCTATAAAATATGGATAAGGTGGGCTTTAGGTAGGTGTGCAGATTTTGTTTATGCCTTGTGCAAAGGTGTAGGTTACATGTATAAGCTGTGTACAGCGGAAGCGATCAGACAAACACAACGCAAGTAAAAGCAGCATAGACACACTCCACTGCCCAATTACAAAATATTAAATATCGCTGTTTAGTAGATATAACCCAAATTAAAACCACTGCCCAATTACAAAATATTAAATCTCGCTGTTTAGTAGATATAACCCAAATTAAAACCACTGCCCAATTACAAAATATTAAATCTCGCTGTTTAGTAGATATAACCCAAATTAAAACCACTGCCCAATTACAAAATATTAAATATCGCTGTTTAGTAGATATAACCCAAATGAAAACCACCGCCCAATTACAAAATATTAAATATCGCTGTTTAGTAGATATAACCCAAATTAAAACCACTGCCCAATTACAAAATATTAAATATCGCTGTTTAGTAGATATAACCCAAATTAAAACCACCGCCCAATTACAAAATATTAAATATCGCTGTTTAGTAGATATAACCCGAATGAAAACCACTGCCCAATTACAAAATATTAAATCTCGCTGTTTAGTAGATATAACCCGAATGAAAACCACTGCCCAATTACAAAATATTAAATCTCGCTGTTTAGTAGATATAACCCAAATGAAAACCACTGCCCAATTACAAAATATTAAATGTCGCTGTTTAGTAGATATAACCCAAATGAAAACCACTGCCCAATTACAAAATATTAAATGTCGCTGTTTAGTAGATATAACCCAAATGAAAACCACCGCCCAATTACAAAATATTAAATCTCGCTGTTTAGTAGATATAACCCGAATGAAAACCACCGCCCAATTACAAAATATTAAATCTCGCTGTTTAGTAGATATAACCCAAATGAAAACCACTGCCCAATTACAAAATATTAAATCTCGCTGTTTAGTAGATATAACCCAAATGAAAACCACTGCCCAATTACAAAATATTAAATCTCGCTGTTTAGTAGATATAACCCAAATGAAAACCACCGCCCAATTACAAAATATTAAATCTCGCTGTTTAGTAGATATAACCCAAATGAAAACCACCGCCCAATTACAAAATATTAAATCTCGCTGTTTAGTAGATATAACCCAAATGAAAACCACCGCCCAATTACAAAATATTAAATCTCGCTGTTTAGTAGATATAACCCAAATGAAAACCACTGCCCAATTACAAAATATTAAATCTCGCTGTTTAGTAGATATAACCCGAATGAAAACCACTGCCCAATTACAAAATATTAAATCTCGCTGTTTAGTAGATATAACCCGAATGAAAACCACCGCCCAATTACAAAATATTAAATCTCGCTGTTTAGTAGATATAACCCAAATGAAAACCACTGCCCAATTACAAAATATTAAATGTCGCTGTTTAGTAGATATAACCCAGATGAAAACATGCATGACTTTAATTATGCATCTTTCCATTGGGATGCATCTAAAATAGCCTGTCAAACTGTTTGGTTTTTTTTTGTGTGTGAAATATAATAAAAAATAATTTGATTTTGATTATTTCTTTTGCAGCAGGATTACTATAACACCGGTTACTACCAGGAGTCTGAAACGTCGCCATCGGCACCTCGAGAACCAGCTACTAGTGACTCGTTTATGGATGATGAAGCAGTAAGGATTTTTTTTTTTAAAACCCCTTTTGTTCCACAAGGTGACAGCATAGGTGTTCCTGTAGGGGGAAGTAGCAACATGCAGTTGTAGATCTGAATGGCTAATATAGTTCCAGTATTAAGACTGCTGGACCTGCAGTGAGTCTCTGGAGACCTACTGGGTTCAGCATTAAGAACATGTTGCTCTACAGACCTCTGCTATGTCTTTGTGTAATTTATCAAATGAAATTGTATCCACATGTTCTAGTTTCATAACTCTGCACCTGAAATATAGCTGACAATATGTTCTATGCTATGTCTTTCCCAAGTAACTCTTTAATGCCTTTTTCTCCAAGTTTAAACGCTTGCAAGGCAAGAGAAACCGAGGAAGGGAAGAAATTAATTTTGTGGAAATTAAAGGGGATGATCAACTAAGCGGCAACCAGCAGTGGCTAACAAAGTCCTTGACTGAGGAGAAGAATATGAAGTCTTTCAGCAAGGTAAGGCAGATACACAATATTCTCTCTCTAACGTCCACGTGATTCACTGCTCCTGTGAGATTGAGGCCCATGGCTTCCTCTAGTCAGAGTGGATTTATATTCTGCCTTAAGTCTGGTCTTCATTGATAACTCACCTTGTAGTGTGATTAGATGAGGGTGTGAGGGGCACCATGTTATACCGTATATACTCTAGTATAGGTTGACCCGAATATAAGTCGAGACCCCTAATTTTACCCCAAAAAACTGGGACAACTTATGGATTCGAGTATAAGACTAGGGTGGGAAATGCAGCAGCTACTGGTAAAATTCTAAATAAAATTAGATCCCCAAAAAATTATATTAATTGAATATTTATAGTGTGTGCATGAGTGCAGTGTGTGTGTGTATGTAATGCATACTCACGAGATTTACAGGGGAGCTGACCGGAACGCAGGAGAAGGGAGCTGACAGGAGCTGCAGGAACGGTAAGTTACAGCTTGCTGCTAGCCCCCAACAGGACCGCCGGGCTTGTAATGAGCCCAGCGGTCCTGGTCTGTATAATGTAAGTTGCCATAATACAGGCATTGACTCGAGTATAAGTCGAGTGGGGGTTTTTCAGCACAAAAAATGTGCCGAAAAACTCGACTTATACTAGAGTATATACGGTATTTTATTTATATTTTTGTGATTAAAGAATGTGTAAGTTTATAAAACATTTTTGCCTGTTTGTGTATATAAAATATTTACCCTGGTACGTGCCTACCTGTAGAGTAATGACTCGTTACAATATATTAATTATTAGTTCATATTATTAATACATTCTTTATTTTCAAATTTTTTGCGTCAAAGGTAGGGTTACAGAATGAAGAAAAGGGAAGGGGTACAGATCAGTGAAGGCATAGTAATGAAGTTCTGTGTCATGGGCTTTTTTTCTGACAGTATTTTAATGAGCCTATTTTGATACAATTTCTTCACTAAGAAAGGTCTGTTTTCGTGTGGAGTCCAGAATATATTAAGTACAGCTTCATACATATTGGTTGAATTGATGGTCATTGTGCAGTGTGAATCAATGGTAGTACTGTAAGAGCCTGAGGTGGTGGTATGGTTGTGGGGTAGTGGGTTTCAGTTGAGGGATAGTAGTGGAAGTAGGGGGGTAGGATGCTATGCGATGTGTATCCAATCTCTGCCATGTTGTGGATGGGTAGATTGTCCTTGGTATTCTCGGGTAGAATTATACCCGCATATATATTGGGAGGTGTACTGTGTATTTCCACCATTTTGTGCTTATTATTTGTGGTGTATGGTTTCTTTGTCCCTTTGTCCCTTAGTCTGCTTGGGGTGGCGGTCTCTTGATTATGGTTTGTACGTTTGGTGGGTATAGTGGACAAGTGTTCTGTTTAAGAATGGGATAGGTCTGGTGGGTGCCGGGTACAGAAGGGTGTGGGGGAGGGAGGGGAAATGGGAGAGGAGATGTGGAAGAGAGAATGATGAAGGGTTGCAGGTGGGGAGAGGAGTGGTGAGGTGAGGTTGTGTAGCTGGGGTGGGTAGCAGTGGGGGGGTTTCTTTATGGGGTGACCGCACGCGTCAGGTCTGTCTGCTCAACCCCATTTGTTTTAATCTCAGGCGTGTTGGGTCCCATTGGAGCATCGTCTTGTATGCCTGCTCCATGTGATTTAACATATATTGTGAGTGAAACGGTCCCCCGTCGAGCAATGCAGGTTGTAACGGAAAGCCTGGCACCCCGACTAGGTACCTTCCGCTAACAGATGCTTCAAGCACTCCACTCGACACCATAACCACTGCAGACTCCACGAACTGCCGCAGCTTGGTTGGGGTCTCGCCGTACTCCACCCACTCTAGATCCAAGACCAGGGTTCAGCTTCCAGTGGGTGAACCGCTCCTAGAATCCAGAGAGCAGGAACCAGGAACAAGCTTAAACTCAGGTGTAGCAGAACCCCTTTGGCTGTCCCATACATTCCCTGTTTAATATTATTGTTGGAACCTAATAGTTTTCCTGTGCCTGGAATATACAGATTTGCATACAACCTTATGTGGCCATGCTAGGATTCATCAAGGGGTTCGGTGGAAAGATATACAAGTCTGCATGTGAACCGCTGTATTCACCATACGAACTAAAGTGCCGAACAACCCGACCACCCTGGTGTGGAGTGTGGCTGTAATTTACCTCCCTGTATGCTCGTTACATTCCCCTGGTTTAAACACACGAACGCTCTGCGGTATTCCCTGGGTGGCCGCCATTTCAGCAGCTTAACACGTGGCGTCGGCCATCTTAAACTCCCGAACAGCGGTGTTTGGTCGTCGAGTGTCTGCAACTCAAATCGGACACTCGACTAACCGAACACCGCTAAGACCTCCAGGACTTCAGAAAGTACCGAGCAAAAAACACGAACGGCTGTTATTCGGTAGGATGAATCCCACAAACTAGTAGGGATTAATCCGAACGCGAACTCAACTATAGATGGCATAGACTTTCGGGACTTTTTATGCACGAACGGAGACCGACCACAGGGCCAAAACTCACGGAACTATTTTCGGCTACTTTGCTTGTGCGGTCGGTCAAATCTCTGCGTCCTCATAACTCTCGAACCCCTGGTCTGATCTGGGTGATTTTTGGATAGGTTTCCCACCCAGATCAGGGCTACCAGTGGGTACCACATATAGTGTACCTACCATATTTGGGGTACATCCAAGAATTGGGGAAAAGTATGCACGTTATAATTGTTAACTGTTAAGCTAAGGGGAGGAGATGTGTGGGAGGTAACGTCTATGTGATTGGTTACTGTAATGATTATGGTGGGTGCCTCCCTTGCATGGGAGAATCCCATAAAAGCAGGAATTGTCATTAAACTTCAGTTCTACTCCTGATCCTGTGTGTCGTCCAGTGATTGGGAAAAGTGATGGGATATTATTGGATTGCCTTGCTGATTGTGCTTGTTACCCTATTGGATTTAATACTTGTTCCTGAATTATTCTAATATACCTGTGGAGTTAAGCTGTGGGAAATCAGCTCTCCGCTACATTAGGGGAGTATTGTGAAATAGCAATCCCCAGAGTGTCGTTATCCCATCCCCCAAACATGAGCCAAGACTTCATGTAGGGGTAAAGCAGGTCTGTTTAATACACACAAAAGGACTTTCTTTAATACAAGTTTTCAGGCCAGAGGCACACCCCCTGGACCTTGTGGTAAACTGTGACAAAAGGGACACAAACCAATGGGAACACTAACAAAATAACACCCCCAAATACACAGTAAAATCCCTCCCCTCTATCCTGGAGATAATGGGCTTAACCCATTAAGGACCAAACTTCTGGAATAAAAGGGAATCATGACATATCACACATGTCGTGTCATTAAGGGGTTACGGAACTGCAGTAAACTCTATTATCTCCAGGTACAGAAAATATCTTCATTTTACACTAACAGTAAAATACATAAAAATACATAATTCCTATTATATTACACAGAACCCCCACCCAATATAGGTGAACAGCGCTCAGATCCCACGAACAGAGTAAATTTGCCATGGGGTTAAAGTTTTGCAAGGACTGATGAGAGATTGAGGAGGGACAAAGCAGACAGTTTGAACTGGTCTGGCAGTGTCCCTGGGACAACGCCCTGCTGGAGAACAATGGGATAGGTATTAAAGGAGGAGGGGAAGAGGCACATTCTCCCATGGAATCAAAGGGGCAGAAAGTCTTTTAAAAGCCAGTAAGCCCAAATAGTCTTTTTAAATTGCAATACACCCCAGGGGCCATAGTCACAGGGCAAGAGGCTGGCAAGCAGGCCTCTCCAAAAGTCTGTGGCAAAGGGTACTTTGTGTAACAGGTGTCTAAGGTATTCTTCAAATCGATAATAGTCCCTTAGTAATGAGTCATCTGTATAGGGTTTATCTCCCCGTCCCTGTGTTACCAAGTACATACATTATATAGAACAGTTTGACCTTGGTGTCAAATTCATTCTGAATGAGGGTGGATGCCCGTGCTCACCTTATATAATCACATAAAATACCATTAAATGACATTTGATAACTGGAGATGTAAAAAAAAAAAGCACCTTTCGTCTGTAATGGGTCTGTAACTTTATCGGGGATCGATTATTGCCATCAGGGGACCTGGGGTGTTCTGGATTCGGGATGTCTCCTCTTATTATGGATGGTAGTTATGGAGTGGGATGGGCCCGGCCCCCACGTTGACCCTTCAACCCTCTGCCCGATAAATTGGAGGGTTGAAGGGTCCGGTTGACCAGGCTATGAATGTGGCAGTCTGAATGGGAGGATGGTGATGAGCTTCCCCCCGAAGGGTTCCTTCAGTGGGATTAATCGGGTCTCCGAGGGTAAATGTGAAAGGGGAGCAGGGGGCCCACAAGCTAGCATATTGTGAGGATAGTTAGGGGTGTAGGGTCGGAGCAGTATTGTTACCCACGGTAGGTGTAAAGTCCATGGGAGTTCAGATCGGCCCGTAGGCCAGGTTACCAGTTCCGTAGTTTTCTCAATTTTGTAGATGGAAAGTGACGTTAGTGTGTCTGGAAGGGTACAACGGCTCTTCGGGAAGGATGATCAGTTAGGCATCATGATGTCTCGGTGTTGCTCCCTCAAGCACTGGGGATAGTTTCTTCTTCTTGAGGGGGCGAGGGGATCTCTGTCTTTCCGTTGGTCGTGCCTCTACCAGGTAACTGTAGAGGGTCGTGGGGTCCTGCAGCTCGATGCCCAGGGATTCTGCAAACTGTGCAGTTTCTGATACAGAGGACAGGATATGTGTTTCACCATTTTTTATTTTTTATTTTTTTTTTTACTAGCAACTTGAATGGATGGCCCCATGTATATTTAAGCCCATGTTGTTGGAGGGCCAGTGTTAGGGGGTTTGAGATCTCTTTTCTTTTTAAGCATCATAGGAGCAAGGTCTTGAAAGAATGTTAAGCGGGAGTCTTGGTGGGTGGTCTCTGGCGAGATTCAGCTATTTCTCTTTTGCTTGGAAGTAATGAAGTCGAGTTAGGACATCTCTCGGGGGTTGCGATGTTGAGGCTTGGTGGGCATAACGCCCCGTGGGCTCTGTCCATTTTCAGGTCTTGTGCCGGTAGTTCTGGGGCAATGGTTTTGAAGATGTCTCTGAGAGTGGGTATTAGAAATACTGGCGTGACGGTTCCTAAGAAGCCATGGATACAGATGTTGTTCCGTGACCGTCTGGACCTATTATTTAGATCCTCAAGGCATTCCTCACTCATAGATGTGTCGGATCACCCTGTCCATGGACTGAAAACCCCTCATTTAATTCCCCTATGAGTTTGGGACATTGCCTTCCATTTCGTTCCTAATTATTTATTTATATGTTCTCTCTGTAATGGCACAATATGCGCTAAAACCAGCTTGAGATCTGAGCGGGGACCCACCGAAAGGTAGGCTATTTCAGCTGCTGCCCGTTCTCAGTATACTCTTGCGCCTCGTGTTTTTTTGTTTGTTTTTGCTCTAAACTAATTTTATTCCCCCTACTGAACGACCAGATCACCAGTGTGTCTGGTAACACCTCGAAAACCACAGGCATTCTAAGCAGTCGGCTGGGTAGTCGGTGTTCGGTATATGACGGAGGACATATTTAGCCGCGAATACATACAGCCGTGTTTGGTCGTCGGGTGCATAGAACTATAATCTGACACTCGACGGCACAAGCACCGCTAGGACTTCAATGCCTTCCTATGTTCGTCTGGATTCGTATAAAAAGAGCGGCGTTCGGTAGGAATAAGCTCCCGGACCAAATACATAGACTGTTTCCCTATGAACTCTTACGTTCAGTATTTTGACTATTTCATGTATTCCCGATTTCATGGAACTCTTTTGTGCAGGAGCCTCGTCGGTCAAAATGTGACTTCCATGGAAATCCTGAACCCCTGAACCGATCTGGGTGATCTTTGGATATGTTGGTCCCCCAGATTGGGGCTATCAGGGGATATAACTTTAGTGGGGTTTCCATGCATTTTGGGGGTACTTTCAGGGTACTGTGTAAAAGTATATATTTTTTTCTGTGCTTGGAGATAATTGGATTATGTGAATACAGTGCCTGATTCAATTATCTCCCAAGCGCAGAGGAGAGTGTATGGGAGTGTCCTGGACCTGAGAACCAATGCCATTTTATGATTGTCTTTCTTGTAGTCTACTCTCAGGTCCAGAGGGGAGGACAACTTGCATGGGCATTGACATAAAAGGCTGTGTGTGGCTCTGTTATCTCACAGCATAGAGCCTCGGCTCATGTTTGTGGGAGAAAGCTGCAACCGAGTGCTTAATCATTAACTCTTCTGCTTGGAGTGCTTAATCATTAACTCTTTTAAGAGCTGTTTCTGCTCTGCTCTACAGCATCCCTCCCACTAGGGGGAAAAGAACATCCCTCGCGGTGAAACTCCTCTTTTCATCGGGGAGGCCGCCACAATAGACATTCGCCCATGCGGGTAAGTGATGTCCTGGGCCTGTGCTGTGGAGTTTGTGGTAAGTTTGGTAATCCAGACCTCCACCTGTTTACAGCACTGCCAGATATGACACTCGCGCATGCTCTGAGGAATAGCGTTTACTTACCTCTACTGCTTTATTCTGGGCGCAGAACATGGAGAGACTGAGACTGTTCTTCACTAAAAAATAACCTGTAGTCATTAGTTGTGTGTATTGACAATTTTCATTTATATTTTAATTTAAATGCTTTTTTCCTTTTTACTCTAGAAAAAAGGGGAGCAGCCAACTGGGCAGCAGCGGAGGAAACACCAGATAACCTATCTAATACACCAGGTTGGTGGTTTTGTTCTTTCTGTAACATGGAATTGCAGGCCACGATTCCAATTCTCAGGACAGCACGTTAGTGGTTACTCACTTAGCTGTGAGTTTGTTATTGAATTGGGGGAGGAGGTACATGGTCTTTCTTGGCAAACTTTCTTCACCAATAATTTCTCTTTGTTTTGACCTTTAATCATCCCTGAAAAATATCCCTCAAGATCTGGTGAGGAGAGTAGATTAAAGCGTAATTGTGATACCTAACATGAACAAAAACATTACATTTAGTCTGTCAGCAGAATTGATGGAAATGCTATAGGTTGTATAAATATTGCCCTCTCACCTGTCCGTACCTGGCATACGTGGTAGTGCTGGACTGATGAAGAATGGGGGAACTCTACATGCAGTTCTTAGCTTAGTGTGTTTGTTGAGAATTAAGAGATGAAGAGCAGGAGAACCCACCTCCTGGCCAATCTACTGCACTTATTGATGCCTGTCAATGCACTGTGTACCTGCACAAAATAAGCTTCTCACACTTTGTCAGAGTTTTATAAACATGGAGTAACGGGCTGGGGTCCACACGTCGGTGACTGACGGGCCTCATTAACATGCTGTATTGTTTACATGCTCAAACCTTTCTTTTGATATAAAATAAATTTTTGAAAAATATTGCATCATAAGCCGGCCTTTATAGCCACGCCCCCTCACTCCAGAAGAAAGACCTCCTTCTCAAACTCAGCCACTGACAGCACTGAATGATCTGAACAGAACTTACCTGCATTAGAAGAGGACGACAACCAGAGAGGCATCTCAGACTGTCTGCAGACAGGTTTTGAATTAAAAGCCACTCACTCAGTGCTGTTGGGACCGAGACTGTGAGCATACATTGATAAAGAAGTCTTTCTGGCATGAGTCGTGTGGTTAAGCAGTTGGGCTTATGGTGTAGCATTCTGTAAAACTTTTAAAAAATTTTTATTTATTTATTTTGCAAAAACTATAAAGTTTTGAGCATGACAAAAATACAACATATTCATTAGGCCAAAATCTATCAAATGCATTAAAGTTGTATTGGTGCCTGGAGTATTCCTTTAAGGAACTGTACACCAGAAAATGAGCATTACTCTGTGTGCCCAGTCCCTGCTTTTTTAAAAGTGCAGTCCGCATAGAGCCCACTTCAAGATCCCATGACAGAGAGAAATATAGTGCCAGAGGCAGTCCGTATGGAGCCCACCTTGAGATCCCATGACAGAGAGGAATATAGTGCCAGAGGCATTCTGTGTAGAGTCCAGTTCGAGATCCCATGACAGAGAGGAATAAAGTGCCAGTTGAGCTGCTGAAGATTTCTTACATGGGACGTTGGCTTATGATTCATTACTTTCTGTATCCTTTTCACAGGCTAAAGAGCGAGAACTTGAACTTAAGAACACTTGGTCAGATAACAAGCTGAGCCGGCGGCAGACACAAGCCAAATATGGCTTCTAACAGCTCTTTGTATTCTTATGGAGCCTTTTTGGAATGTGAGTCAGCCATGGTGGCTATAACATTTGGATTCTAATATGAAGTGCCCACAGGAATAGCGGCTTTTAGACTAAGCCTCTATGAAGAGTATCGGTGGCAGCGGCTGCTTGGAAAACTATGAGCTGCATAAATTGTGACACATTTTAACGCTGCCGGTCTGTTAATGCGAGTTTTTCTTTTGACGATGACTGACAAGAAAAGTTTTCTGTTAAATGTCGCCAGCTCTGGTCTGTGGCTCTCTTCCGGTAGCAATGTGAAACTGACTAACGGGGTACCGATATAAAGACATTCTCCTATTTCCCTTCCATACAGCTCATTCTCGCCACACATGTGAACTCCTGGAGACCATGCTCTCTCTGCTTCTCGAAATATTCACAGCCCACTTAGTAATAACCCGCTGCGTGCCCAATGGTCACTTTCTTTTCTGCTATTGAACTGAAACAACTCTCTCAACCTACTTTGCATCCCAAAGGTTGACCGGTGCGAGCGGAATTTAAACATGTCCTGTATTTTGTGGTGTGAAATCTTGTAAATAACTTAAAACTGTGTATGTATATACATATATATATATATTTTTTGAGTTGGATTTTTTTGCTCCCACTTCCCCGTAGCTTTTAATACAGTGATTTTTGAAACTCTGATATATCTCCTGTGTAACCGTAAATCTCCAGTTCATAATGCAAGTACTGAAGAGGGCTAAGCAGCCTGCAGTACCTGAGCTAATATTTTCCTTATCGTTGAAACAAAATGGCCTGTAATAAAACACTTTTGTGATTCTATCATTTGTAATGCATACCTTTTTCAGTAAGTCGTCATTGGTCATAAATACTGCTTCTTTAACCAAAAGCCATGCACGGTGTGAGCGGAGTCTGTTTCAGAGTTCATTTTCTGTTCTTGCATGATGTCAGGATTTGGGATCACCCCTAGCTCTGTTATTTAGTGTGTGGTCTGATAATTACAGCAGCCTACTGTGGTTGTTATGGTTCCAGGAGTGCCTTTGCATCCTCCCAGTGTGATTGGTTGAGCCGTTTAATAACTCGGTAAAAAAAGGAGGAAACAGACTGTTGCAGGCACAAGTTAACAAAATGATCTTAATGATTTAACTAGAATACTTAAAAATTTGGCCAAAGTAATAAAGATTGTCAACCACAAGACAAAGAGGTTTCAGCCCTTCGTACAATACCCACACAAAAATAAATGTGGGTAACATAAAACATAAGTTAATATCAAAGTTATGAACCGGTTTCTATTCAGTGCCACTCCTATACAAGTAATGATAATTTTGCACCACCAGAGGTCACCCCTGCCCTCATCAATACGAGCTAATAGAGTGAAATAAACATACAAGCTGAAGAAAAGTGTGGTTCCCCTGAGTCAACAATAGGACACACACACCTGCATTCAAATCTCCAGAATGCTAGTAAATGCTATAAACCTAATATGTGCCTAATTACTTGCCAGCCACTAGGATCAATAGAGCAAAGTTCAGATTCCAAAGGTGATTTTTAAATAAGGCATAAGGTGCAGCACTCCCAATGATCCAACTGGCTGGCAAGTCATTATGGTAAAATATATATTGGATCTCTCTTTATCTGCAGGAATCTTGCTGGCATTATAGAGATGAGTGCAGGTGACTCAGAGGAACCACACGTTAGCTATTATTGTCAGTATGTTTATTTGAATCTATTCGCTCGTATTGATGAGGATAGGGGAGATCTATGGTGGTGCAAAATCATTGACACTTGTATAGGAATTGAAACATTTGTTTTATAACTTTGCACAATCACAATTATATGAGATTTATTCTCTGCCTGGAACATTGGTGTATCAAGCACTATATTTGAAATTAAGATTTGGTCTATATGGGCATTTTTATAAGAAATAGAAGCGTTCTGTTTTATGTCCTCATTTTTCTTTGAGTAATAGTTTGACTACTTGCACTGGGGATGGTGTGTCGACACTTTACAGGCTTTGGTAGTTGTGCTGCATGGCGTTTTCTCCCCCAAGGAGCAGGCAGGAGTTTCACCAAATAGAGCTATTGATGTATGTGTATGCATTACAAAATTCATGTAATATTTTATTTTAAATTAAAATTGTCAGTTTTCATTTTAAGGAACAATATCCTCAAATTAATTTTTAGGAAAGTTGTTTACGGTTTTGTATTCTGCATTGTTTTTTATATGTGCGTTGAAACACCTACTGTTTGAGGTGACCTGCTCCTTTTTAGTCCTATCGGTGCCTCCATTACATGTCATCAGGTATCAAACACCTCTTACAGTGCAAGTCTGACAACAGAAAATGTGTGTTTTGTAATACTGACAAAAACTAGCAGGGGAATATTTTGCCTAAATTGGAATTATTACACCATGTCAGTTCATGTAATCTCCGCAGCCAATCAGTGTGGGATATGCAGAGAAACTCCCAGCATTGCACTGCACAAGGAATCGTTGGTAGAACATGATGCTGTGACCACAAAATCCCCTAAGGCAGCTGGAAGTGTTCTTTTTAATTATAAAGCAATGCTGAGTAGATATAAAAATTACACATGGTGTAAACAGTTTTAAAATGCTGTATGATTGTGCTTAGACTGTGTCTGCTGACAGAGCCACTTTATGTTTGGACACACATTAAAGGGACACTTTAGGCAATGTAACTGCTTAATCTCATTGAAGTGGTTATAGTGTCTTGAGATCCTTGGCGATGTCCTACCATATAGAGTTAAACCGTTTTTAGCGGTTTAATTAGTCCCCAGCAGTCCATCCTCTCTGTGCTAATGAGGAGATATTGGACTGAGCATCAATGGTTGGCTGAGAGTGTCAGCTGACTGCATTGAGCCTATCACAGTGCCCATTGCTGGTATGGATTGGTATGGCTAGATGAAGTGTGTAATCTCTGCCTTAGCCACACCTCCAATGCGGGCGGAGCTATGGAAAGCCATGGAACCTCATTCAGTGTTAAACTGCTTGAAAATGGTTTAACACTGAATGAAGGGACTGTGCCAGGGGACTCCAAGTACTATAACCACTTAATTGAGATGGAATGTCTCTGTAAGCTAAACTCTGCTCCCTTCCTAAATGGTTTATTTGGACAGATAACTGAATTGTCATTTCCATATACCAATGTATTGTAAGTTACTGTATTAAAGGCTCTTTAGACCCAGTAAAAGTACTCACTGAAATGTTTGATTATTTGGCATCCTCTTTACATAAACCTTGAATTTAGTGACAGAAGAAAACATAATGAAAACTTAATGAAGCAGTTTTGGTGTATAGATCCTGCCCTGCAGTTTCATTGCTCAATTCACTGAACATATCATTTCAGCCAGTTGCCTTTATTTATGTGAATGTAGTGCACCTTTAAAGGATCACCGCTCAAAACACCCCAACTTCAGTTTGCTGACGTGCTTTAGAGGTGAGGAGTATGCTAGTTTAACCACAGCTTTTAAAAAAAATAAATTAACTTTTATAAATTAACTAGGGAAAACCCCTCGGGAGGTTGTCATCTAGGGATGTTGTCAGCCTCCTGCCGTTGGCTTCTCTGCATTAGCTGAACTGGTAGGCACAAGGGCATCAATTCTGAGGCCTCTCAATGATTCTCTTTCAGGAAAATAGGGGAGGGCTTGCAAAGGCTGCAGTTCATAAGAACCTCGTGTATTGAAAACTTTTTTGAAAAATATACCCCCAATTCATACATGAAAAAATAATGCATTTATTAATTGGTAGTATATTTACTAAACAGTGATTTTTAAACTCTCCCCCAAAAAAAAAAGATCATTATTACAGTGTTTGTTGTGAAATGCTTTTATTCTGCTGTGCACAAAGCCTTCACTGCAGCACTGAGAGAGTTAAAGAGGTAGTTGAAGAAATCTGTGAATCGGCCCTATGACACTATGCAGGCTACAACCACCAGCAGGCACTATATAGGAGAGATCTCAGCATGTTGTCTCTTCAGGGATATCTCAAACTTTTTGCAAGTGAATGATAATTTTAAGTCCTATTTGCCGCTAGCAGGTTCTGGGGGGAGAGTACGTGTTAATAATACATTTATACATACCACCATAAGCCTCCTTTCTTTTAATCCCTCTATTAGTCAGCCCCATAAAAGGCCAATAAAAATCATAATTCCTGAAAGAAAAAAAAAAAACATTAAAATTCAAAAACCCGATGCAATAAAATTGAGTCCATCTTTGCTCCACGAGGGTCAGCTGTAGACTGAGTTCTCAAAGCAAGGGCTGTAAGCTATCATTGAGTAGTAAAATTTCCCACGTATGGAATATCGGTAAGAACGCTCTGATTGCTTGACTAGCAAGCCAACCAACCAATCAGAGCAGCCTGACAGCCAAGGCTCGAGAGAAGTGAGATTGAGCTGTCACAGCGCTGTGATTGGTCCCGATTGGCCCCATATGGTTTAGTAAATAACCCCACTTGTAATGAATGTTCTGGTCTCTTGTCTTACAGAGCAGGAGTTTATGGGATATGTCCATCTGCTCTGTGCAGCATTTTCATTCTGTACTAAGTCTCAGTATTGCTTCATTCTCTGACATCTGGGAAATGGACAGGCCTACAGCTGTAATTAAATGTCAAATGTTGCACCTCTTGTGGATTGCACAGAAAGGGGGTATTGATTTCCTTTTTTGTTTTTTTCCTGGCCATTACACTGGCCAGGAAAGCCACCATAATATTGTGACACGACGAATTAAAATACAATATCGCCTGGGCCCCCAAAAAATCTGTTAGACAGCCAAGGGAGGCAGTCTTAGTGCGGCAATTTGTCTAAAACAGCAATGTTTTATATTGCAGGGTTGAGGGGACAGGGACAGTGCGTCCAGACGACTTCAATGAGATGACAGTAAAGTCAAGCATCATTTATATGGCTGGGTCAGAGATCTGATCAATCCGAGGGCAAGAAATATTGCAGGAAGATAACTTGTTAGAGTTTTAGCAGAATCTTAGATCAGGCAGGCTTGGTACGTCTTTATCCTATGGCTAGTATACACACTATACTCACAGCATGAAATCCCAGCAGTGTAATTATCTGCGATGCTTTTAAAGCGAGCTACGGCCGGGAGTCACTGTATTTACTATAGTGCCAGCTCTGAGAATTAACATGTAAGAGGCCGCAATTATGGCTGGAAGCAGGAAAACTTTGTCACGTTTTGCAGCTAAAAATATTAAAACCTCTCGTTCGTGCTGAGGACCGCGATGGAGTGTAAGGATTCTATATATAACAAAAACTCAAGAAAGTTGGTCAGGGCTCAATAAGTATTAAATCCAGTCTACATGAAGAAGACGGGAGTGATTGCTTCCATTGTGCTTCGTCATGTAATCGTGCACAGGGTGAAATTCACGGCTGCATGGATCAAACACTGGAAAGCTTAATTCATGAAACGTTTGTGGGTTTTCATGATACAGGATTAGCAGTAGTGAACCAATGTGTCGTTACAGATCCATCTTAGCGGTTGTTACATTGTTACACGTATTGTGCACCCACCCTCCAGTCTAGGCTTGCTCCCGATTCTCTGCTTAGGACACCATCTGTTTTGAGGATAAACTGTCCATTCCTTTCGTATTGGAGTCTGTTAGCCAAACTCCGTCCAAGATGATGACCGGTATTACCTTTCGGCTTGGCTCTGGTCCGTTAGCCTTCTACCTATTCACACTCTGCCAACTCCTTAAAGGATCACTATAGGCACCCAGACCACTTCAGCTTAATGAAGTGGTCTGGGTGCCAGGTCCATCTAGGATTAAGCCTTTCTGCTGTAAACATAGTAGTTTCAGAGCGTCCATAGGAATAGAGAATTGAGAATGCTTTCCTATGGACTGTTAGAGAGGAATAGACTAAGTGAATAAAGTGGCGAATGGCTGGGAATACACATTAAAATGCAACAAGTATAAGTGATTTTTAACCAACAAGGGTACAGTAAGATATTCTCTGGTTACTCAACTAAATCATTCTTATTCAATCTACCTCAGTTGGAAATTGAACCTGCAACCCTCAATAGATGAACAGTTTCTGATAATGCATTAGCCCACTGAGCTATCTCACCGCGCATGCGCATTCAGACGATGACATCAGAAGAGGGAGGAGAGTCCCAGCACTGGAGAAAGGTAAGGGATTAAACCCTTCCTCCCCCTTCAGCGCCGCAGGAGTGGGACCCTGAGGGTGGGGGAACTCTCAGGGCACTATAGACGATAGTGGTCCTTTAAGTAGTCCATATTAACCAAACAAAGTACAGCTGGTAGTCCGATCATAAAACAAACTTTCCAACACACAGGTCTTAACCCTCTAAGGACAAGCCTGCTTTTGCGTTTTAGAACCCGAGAAGTGTTGAAATTCGTGCTGCCATACAGATTCCTAAATCCACCCAGCTATCAGTCTGTCCAACTTCCTCTGCATTGCCACCTCCCACTGGATTGTAAGCTCACAAGGCCATGGACCTTGATCCTTCTGTACCAGTACATAGCTTTGTGTATGTTGTACGACTTGTCTGTAACACCTCTAGCATTGTTTGAAAATTGTAATGAAAGTCTAAAATGGCCATCTCCACTCTGAAACCGTAACTGGGCTTCAAGTGATAATCCCAGCAAATCTTAGATTTAAATAGTAATAATATGTATGCATGATTGTTTGAAAGTGATCTCAGGTACAGTGCTACTTTACCACCAGCAAAGGTGTCTTGTTTTGTTTGTTTTAGAGCATTTAATATATTATTTACATCATAAAACACTCGGATAATTCGCACATAACATGGCAAGCCTCTCTTATATAACTAACCCTTACAGTTCACTGATTGTGTCACACATCAATATTTAAACTTACCTTATATAAATACTAATTGTATGTACATTTGTATAATGACAGGCTGAATAAACATTATTTAAAAATTGTCCTGTTAAAACCATCTGCCAAACATCACTTTAAATGTAATACATTCATAGCTTTTCATTCAAAAACAAAAAAAAGACTATATCTAGGTTTTTTTTATTTTTTATTATTACATGGATTATAAATATTCCATCTCAAGGATTGACAGTGCTGCAGAAAATGAAAATGTAACAATATAAATATATTCTGTTTTTTTACTGTTGGCATATTCCTATAAACTATCAACACAGCAGCCAAATTAAGCAGTCACTTACAACCGTGCCACTATTTATTTATTTTTTACTGGCCAGCTGCTATTCACGAAAATCTGTTTGCTACTGTTAGCAAGTAGTGGTTGCTTACGGATTGTTCTGAGAGTTCAACAAATAGCATTCACAGGAAGCGGTTTCCGTTCTTTTTCCAACAAGGTGCTGATGAGCTTGGCAGCCATTATTAGCGATATCCTAGATATTGCGACAATTCTGCTGATAATTCGTAACCGTTACAAGCTACCGGCTGTGAATAGAAGTTTGTAAGCAAGCTCTTCAATTGCTGGGCAGGAAGCTTCTCTGTCTACTGCAAGATCTTCCCAGATAGCAGCATTTTGACATCAAGGCCTTGATTTCAAATAGTTAGAAAATTTTTCCAAATTGTTTATTATATTTGGATAAACTTTGAAAATGATTTAATATAATGAAAAATCATGAATTTTTTTGATATTTAGGTATTTTTTATATATTTTAATATGTTGAGTAAAATAATTTTAAAGGTTTAGCCAACAATATTAAAGCTGAAGTTTGGTCTCCTGTTCAATGATTGTCTGCGATTAAAACAATAAATAATTAAGCTGATTTTCTCTCTCGATGGATTTGTCTCCAATGTTCAACATTTTCCACCAGAAGTTCAATAAATGAATTCAATTTCCCAAATGTTTCATAGATATAGGTCACTGCTGACACTGGCTTCACACTCCCACACTTTCCTGGGAGGGGACATTATTGTCATCTTTGGCGATAAAGTCATCCAACTACACAGTGACAGAATAAGAGATTTGCTGATAATTCCTTTCTTAATGTATGTAGGCTTATTTGACTATTAAAATGAGGATGTTATATTGTGAGTAGTTAAAGGGCAGTCTGTGGGTAGTATGATAATGATCTTTTTGGTTAGAAATATCCTGCGAGATTCCATAAGTAATATTTATTAAAGTCTTAAGGAATATTTTGCATTCTTCACATTAAAAGGAATAATGAGGTGGTAGGACCTGTAGATATTTGGTGATATAGGCACAAAAATTTAGTCACTGATCACACTGCATTTTAGTTGACCGGTGGTTTTTCTTTGGTCGGGAGATGCGATCTTCTGGAATTCTTTCATAGATGTTTTCCAGATCTGTCAGCTCTCTCGTGTTGGTGTGTGTGTTGTCTTGTGTGTAATTACCGTATGATGGATCATCTAACTGCATTTTTGCCTAGGAAGGAAACAATTAAACATTTTAATTTGGAATAGACAATAAAGGCACTGTCAGGGTAAACCAATCCTCTTTTTAATCACCCGTTTTTCTGAAGGAACCTTACACATTATTACTGAAATAAAAATGTGTAGAATTTAACAAAGAAGCGTTTAGTTTTTTTTTTTTGTGTGTTCTAACCATTCAGATTTATGTAACAAATGTTACGTGCGAACGTCTTTTACCTTGGATTTGCAGTAGGCTTTTCTTGCGATTTCCTGTGCTTTAGAGCGGCCCGCTGCCGATGGATCTAAACATTTGTTCGCACGAAATGAGGAATGGAAGGCTGTCTTTTTATTAGGGGGTGCTCTGCTCGTTGGGTGAGGAAGAGTGGCCGATGCTGCTTGTTTGTGTGTCTTGGTTTGGAATCCAGAAGATGTTTTGCAGTTGTTATCCACCTCTGAATAAATATTCTCCATGCTTTCCTTGCACGACCCTCGCCCTACGGCATAAAAAGCAATAGGATGTTCTCTCTCCATAGCATTTCCTTTGTCCTGCGTTGTACATATGGCTGGCTCAGAGTATGTATGGAATTCCTCCATCATGCCATATTCTTTATCACGCAATATTTTTTCATTCTTTGTTTGGGTATGAGACCCAGAACATTTCTTTATAATGGGTGAGTAGTCATCAGAGGGCTGTTTAGGTCCAGGTTTTATGTGGTCTTTCACACTTACATCAGGGACACTGGAAGGGAAGCTTGGTCCATCATTGACAATCTAATGGAAAAAGATCAGAATTGGTTATTTTGCTTTATGGACCACCTGTGAATTTTTGTATATATATATATTAAAAGATTTAGAAAATACTTCTCAGAAGATTATTCAAGGACCTCTTATTCTCAGAGCTTAGTAATGTTTGGTGGTCCATTTCACTATTGTGTTATAATTTACTGGCTACAAATGTAAACAAGGCAATTATTTATAGTTTGTGCTGTTAATAACTCAAATCTAGCAGCTATCGGCCAATCATACACGTACCTTCAGGAAAAAGCCACATTTCTTTTGATTAGATTTTTAGTTACTAAAGCACGTCGTGCTAGTCAAGAAAACATTTTTTGGTTAGTAGCAGAATTTAAATGCATACATGCTTTGATAACCTATTGTTGGTATATGAATTTGTTCAGACATATTATTTGAACTTATACCATTTTCCAATCAGTTGATAAAAATGGAGGCCATGATTTGTCTGAACATATTCACTGTAGCTGGTATGCATTTATACTAATGCTGCAGAAGCAGTCTCTGCAGGATAAGTTGAAGTGAAATCTTCCCCTTCTTCTCTTACATTGGAATGGCCCAAATGTAAAATTATTGTTCAATTTGGCGAATGTGCACAGTATCCTCACACCATATCTACCCAGTGAGCTCTGCCACCTCTACATGTTCCGTATTTCACAAACAATCCTAAATATTGGTAAATATTGTATACAAAGTATTTCACCTTAATCATGTCTTTTGGCGGAGTGTTCTTCCTTTCTTTGGGAGACTGAGGTTGTTTCTCGGTAGGATTTGGGCATGGCTTGATGACTTTGTCATACTTGTGATCCCCCCTAGGCACTTCAATTGAGTTTTGCAACATGTCCTCTGAATTCTTTGCTGTTGGAGTCTACATAAAGAGAGATCAAACTCGGTGAGAGAGATGGTCTGACGGCTGCTTGTCCTTCCTACAAACCACAAATCAGAGTATGATGGTATCTGCAGATCATCAAAAGATGGGGGTTGTGACTGGCTACAATATATAGATTAGAATGATAGATCAGGTACATGCCTTCATATGTATTTTTTCTAAGTCAGGTAAAATGGGAGGAGTCTCTCGCCATTTACCAACAAGCTGTTCCTCTGATAAATATTGTAATAGGCCCAGCAGATCAGAGTGGGGAAAGCCTCTATCTTTTCCTGTAGACTGCAAGTGGCATGACCTCGCTAACTAAACACAGAGTCATGAAGGTCAAGGGTGTTGGACTATTGGGAGATCGAGAGTGGAAACACTGGATACAAATGTATGTTTCCTGATGAAATATTTTATAAATAAATATGATTTACTTTAAAACAGACATTTAAAGGGACACTCCAGGCACGCAGACCACTTCTGCCCATTGGAGTGGTCTGGGTGCCAACTCCCACCATCCTTAACCCTGCCCCCTGCGAGTGTACCTTGCAGGGTTAAGTCCTCCTCTAGTGGCTCTCTATCAGACCGCCACTAGAGGGACTTCCGCGTTCTTCCGCTATGCATGAGGACCTCCAGCGTCGCCGAAATCCTATGGGGAGGTCTAATGTGCGGGCGCGCTCCATTGCCGCGCATGTGCATAAGGTCTCTGGTGGGGGAGGAGCGTGGGTGGAGCCTGACCCAGCGCAGAGGGACATCGGCGCTGGATTCAGGTAAGTCACTGAAAGGGTTTTCACCCCTTCAACTTGGGATGGGGTGTGGGAGGGAGAGGGGCACTGCAGTGTCCTGCAGTGCCAGGAAAAACGGATATGTTTTCCTGACACTGGAGAGTCCCTTTTAATGACCGAGCAATGACATTGGAGTACATGCATTGTTATTGTAGTGCTGTTAACAGCTCGGGAACATTATATACCCCATGCAGTAATACTGTCTCCTTGGTACCAGCATTATATACCCCATACAGTAATACTGTGTCCTTGGTAACAGCTCGGGTACATTATATACCCCATGCAGTAATACTGTGTCCTTGGTAACAGCTTGGGTACATTATATAACCCATACAGTAATACTGTGTCCTTGGTAACAGCTCAGGTACATTATATACCCCTTACAGTAATACTGTGTCCTTGGTAACAGCTTGGGTGCATTATATACCCCATGCAGTAATACTGTGTCCTTGGTAACAGCTCGGGTACATTATATACCCCATGCAGTAATACTGTGTCCTTGGTAACAGCTCGGGTACATTATATACCCCATGCAGTAATACTGTGTCCTTGGTAACAGCTCGGGTACATTATATACCCCATACAGTAATACTGTGTCCTTGGTAACAGCTCGGGTGCATTATATACCCCGTACAGAAATACTGTGTCCTTGGTAATAGCTCGGGTACATTATATACCCCATACAGTAATACTGTGTCCTTGGTAACAGCTCGGGTACATTATATACCCCATGCAGTAATACTGTGTCCTTGGTAACAGCTTGGGTACATTATATAACCCATACAGTAATACTGTGTCCTTGGTAACAGCTCGGGTACATTATATACCCCATACAGTAATACTGTGTCCTTGGTAACAGCTCGGGTACATTATATAACCCATACAGTAATACTGTGTCCTTGGTAACAGCTCGGGCACATTATATACCCCATGCAGTAATACTGTGTCCTTGGTAACAGCTCGGGTACATTATATACCCCATACAGTAATACTGTGTCCTTGGTAACAGCTCAGGCACATTATATACCCCATGCAGTAATACTGTGTCCTTGGTAATAGCTCGGGTACATTATATACCCCATGCAGTAATACTGTGTCCTTGGTAACAGCTTGGGTACATTATATAACCCATACAGTAATACTGTGTCCTTGGTAACAGCTCGGGTACATTATATACCCCATACAGTAATACTGTGTCCTTGGTAACAGCTCGGGTACATTATATAACCCATACAGTAATACTGTATGCGGTATATACATTATATACCGCATACAGTAATACTTGGTAACAGCTTGGGTGCATTATATACCCCATGCAGTAATACTGTGTCCTTGGTAACAGCTCGGGTACATTATATACCCCATACAGTAATACTGTGTCCTTGGTAACAGCTTGGGAACATCATATACCCCATACAGTAATACTGTCATTGATAACAGCTCGGGTACATTATATACCCCATGCAGTAATACTGTGTCCTTGGTAACAGCTTGGGTACATTATATACCCCATACAGTAATACTGTCATTGATAACAGCTCGGGTACATTATATACCCCATGCAGTAATACTGTGTCCTTGGTAACAGCTCGGGTACATTATATACCCCATACAGTAATACTGTGTCCTTGGTAACAGCTTGGGTACATTATATACCCCATACAGTAATACTGTGTCCTTGGTAACAGCTTGGGTGCATTATATACCCCATGCAGTAATACTGTGTCCTTGGTAACAGCTCGGGTACATTATATACCCCATACAGTAATACTGTGTCCTTGGTAACAGCTCGGGTACATTATATACCCCATACAGTAATACTGTCATTGATAACAGCTCGGGTACATTATATACCCCATACAGTAATACTGTGTCCTTGGTAACAGCTTGGGTACATTATATACCCCATACAGTAATACTGTCATTGATAACAGCTCGGGTACATTATATACCCCATGCAGTAATACTGTGTCCTTGGTAACAGCTTGGGTACATTATATACCCCATGCAGTAATACTGTGTCCTTGGTAACAGCTTGGGTGCATTATATACCCCATACAGTAATACTGTGTCCTTGGTAACAGCTCGGGCACATTATATACCCCATGCAGTAATACTGTGTCCTTGGTAACAGCTTGGGAACATCATATAACCCATACAGTAATACTGTGTCCTTGGTAACAGCTCGGGCACATTATATACCCCATGCAGTAATACTGTGTCCTTGGTAACAGCTTGGGTGCATTATATACCCCTTACAGTAATACTGTGTCCTTGGTAACAGCTCGGGTGCATTATATACCCCATACAGTAATACTGTGTCTTTAGATGGGCGTTGTAGCAACCCTATTGGGACCATCCATAGATGTTACATGAAGAACATTACTCTACTGACATTTCAATGTGATGCAGATGATACCTCACATTCTGAAAAGATTGTTTTGACGTTCTAAATGCACGGCAGCAGATAGATAGACCTTATACAGCGCTTCATAAATAGCCGATCTGAATGATATTCCTGTATGTTTCTTCAGATAACGTTACCACTGAGCTTACCAGAAAAGGCTACGGTTACCTTGGAGGTCCGCTAACGTACAGCCGCTGGGAGGTTTACACGGGCAGGTTGGCAATATGGGGGCCTGGATGCAGAAAACAAGCCTAAAACACTAATTCCTACCTTGACACAAGCTGCGGTCAGCAATTCTTTGTACGGCTTGACTGGGTGCAGGCGGTAATGGTTCAGCAGGTCTTCGAGGCGGGAATGAGTACTGTCCTCACCCTCAATCACATACTTCTCATCCTTCAGCTGGTCCAACATAAAATGGCGGCAGCGCTCACTTCCTCTGCCAAATACATTTATTTTACATTAGTACTAAAACCACTTTGCACAAGACAATGGACTGGATTACGGCTGCCCAATCCAACGTGTGTTACTGGAGGTATCAATCCTGTCTACACTCTGAGAGCTAGTACTATATTTATACACACAGACAATAAATGTCTTACTAAATAGGAAGTTACCTCCCCGCAGCCCCCGGGATGAAGGATTAACTTGTATTCAGATAAACCTAAAACGCTCGCCATCCCTAGACTGGATGGGTACAAAGAAGGGGAAATGGTTAAAAGAAATTGGTGTAGATGAATATTCTTGTTCTTGGGTAGAACATTTGCTTAAGTATAGAGTACGACGACTTGTCATTAATGGTAAATTTTCAGGCTGGACAAAAGTGGTAAGTGGTGTCCCTCAGGGTTCTGTTTTGGGACCACTTCTTTTTAACATATTTATAAACGAACTTGAAATAGGCATTGAAAGCCATGTTTTATTGTTTGCAGATGACACAAAACTTTGTAAAGTAATAAAATGTGAGCAATATATTGCTTTGCTGCAGAGGGATTTGGATAGATTGGGGACTGGGCACTAAAATGGGAGATGAAATTTAACATAGAGAAATGCAAAGTTATGCACTTCGGGGTTAAGAATGCACAAGCAACTTACACCCTAAATGGTAGTGAATTAGGGATAACCACACACGAGAAGGATTTGGGAATTGTTATAGACAACAAATTAGGCAGCAATATGCAATGTCAGTCTGCAGTTGCTAAGGCCAGTAATGTTTTGTCATGTATTAATAGGGGCATAAATTCTCGGGATGAAAATATAATTTTGCCTCTTTATAAATCACTGGTACGACCACACCTTGAATATGCTGTGCAATTTTGGGCACCAGTTCTAAAGAAGGATATCATGGCACTAGAAATAGTGCAGAGACGAGCTACAAAATTGATAAAAGGAATGGAGCATTTTAGTTATGAAGAAAGGTTAAAAATGTAAATCTCTTTAGTTTGGAAAAACGGCGCCTGAGAGGGGATATGATAACTTTATACAAATATATTTGGGGCCAGTACAAACCATTATCAGTAAATCTATTCATAAACAGAGCTATACATAGGACATGAAATCACGCATTTAGTCTGGAAGAAAGGAGATTTCCTCTAAGGCAAAGAAAAGGTTTTTTTAACAGTAAGAACAATAAGGATATGGAATTCTCTGCCTGAAGAGGTGGTTTTATCAGAGTCCATACAGATGTTTAAACTGCAACTGGATAAATACTTGCAAAAACATAACATACAGGGATATAATTTCTAATTAGTGGGGTAATAGCTGTTGGATCCAAGGATAAACCTGACTGCTATTTTGGGGTCAAGAAGGATTTTTTCCCTAGTTTGTTGCAAAATTGGAAGCGCTTCAGACTGGGTTTTTTGCCTTCTTTTGGATCAACCGCAAAAACATATATGAGGAAGGCTGAACTTGATGGATGCAAGTCTCTTTTCAGCTATGTAACTATGTAATCCTTACCGGTAGGAAAGAACGTATCCAACTCTGCTTTCACAAAAACGTATAAGGAAGCACCCCAGGGGCTTATCCTGCAGGATCTCCTCTGCCCGTCTGTGTAAAGAAAACAATATAAGAGTTTAAAAGTCTTTTATAACGCAGTCCAGGCACATATTGTACTTTAGGACAGCGGAATCTCGCTGTCCTGCAATGGGTAATATCATCACTTCACAGACATGGAATACACACAGTATACCGTCACAGACATGGAATACACACAGTATACCGTCACAGACATGGAATATACACAGTATACCGTCACAGACATGGAATATACACAATATACCGTCACAGACATGGAATACACACAGTATACCATCACAAACATGGAATATACACAGTATACCATCACAAACATGGAATATACACAATATACCGTCACAGACATGGAATATACACAGTATACCGTCACAGACATGGAATATACACAATATACCGTCACAGACATGGAATACACACAGTATACCATCACAAACATGGAATATACACAGTATACCATCACAAACATGGAATATACACAATATACCGTCACAGACATGGAATATACACAGTATACCGTCACAGACATGGAATATACACAATATACCGTCACAGACATGGAATACACACAGTATACCATCACAAACATGGAATATACACAGTATACCATCACAAACATGGAATATACGCTGTATACCGTCACAGACAAGGATTTTTAATGTTTATTTTATACAGTTAATAATCAGTCACTCAGACACGAACAGTCACTCAGTCACTATCTGTCACTCAGACACTATAAGTCACTATTAGTCACTATCAGTCACTCAGACAATATTAGTCACTATCAGTCACTCCGACACTATCAGTCACACCGACACAAACAGTCACTCAGTCACTATCTGTCACTCAGTCACTATCTGTCACTCAGACACAAACAGTCACTCCGACACAGTCACTCTGACACAGTCACTCAGTCCCTATCTGTCACTCAGTCACTATCAGTCACTCCGACACAAACAGTCACTCCGACACAGTCACTCAGACACTATCTGTCACTCAGACACTATCAGTCACTCCGACACTATCAGTCACTCAGTCACAGTCACGCAGACACAAACAGTCACTCAGACACTATCAGTCACTCAGACACTATCAGTCACTCCGACACAGTCACTCAGTCACTATCTGTCACTCTGACACTATCTGTCACTCAGACACTATCAGTCACTCAGACACGAACAGTCACTCAGACACAGTCACTCAGTCACTGTCACTCAGTCACTGTCACTCAGACACTATCAGTCACTTAGACACTATCAGTCACTATCAGTCACTCCGACACTATCAGTCACTCCGACACTATCAGTCACTCAGACACTATCAGTCACTCCGACACAAACAGTCACTATCTGTCACGCAGACACAAACAGTCACTCAGTCACTATCTGTCACTCAGTCACTATCTGTCACTCAGACACTATCTGTCACTCAGACACGAACAGTCACTCAGACACGAACAGTCACTCAGACACAGTCACTCAGTCACTGTCACTCAGACACTATCAGTCACTCAGACACAAACAGTCTGTCACTCAGTCACTATCTGTCACTCAGACACAAACAGTAACGCAGACACAAACAGTCACGCAGACACAAACAGTCACTATCAGTCACTCAGACACTATCAGTCACTCCAACACAAACAGTCACTCAGTCGCTATCTGTCACTCGACACTATCTGTCACTCAGACACGAACAGTCACTCAGACTCAGACACTGTCACTCAGACACTATCAGTCACTTAGACAATATCAGTCACTCAGACACTATCAGTCACTCAGACATTAACAGTCACTATCAGTCAGACACTATCAGTCACTCCGACACAAACAGTCACTCAGTCACTATCTGTCACTCAGACACTATCTGTCACTCAGACACTATCAGACACGAACAGTCACTCAGACTCAGTCACTGTCACTCAGACACTATCTGTCAGTCAGACACTATCAGTCACTCAGACACGAACAGTCACTCAGACTCAGTCACTGTCACTCAGACACTATCAGTCACTCAGACAATATCAGTCACTCAGACACTATCAGTCACTCAGACACTAACAGCTACAGTTTTTTTTTCCCACTCCACCAATATGGTTTTATGTAACATGGCATGTGACATTTTAGCACTACTATAAAACTATACCTATCTATTTGTTTAATAAATGTATTTTAAGATTTATACATTGACATTCTTAGTGCTCAATTATTATTTTTTCGCATGATCATCATCCCAAATTCTTTCATCCTATATTAGATTTTAAACAGATTTAAAAATATATTTTTCCTTTGCAAATATTTTTTCCAATCATATGGATATACATTATACATCTTCCTTTTTTCTATATTTTATAACCCAGATATTGTACTTAGTACTACAATTATATGCCTTTTTGCCCCATCTTTGACATATTCCCTTTTTTTCTCTTTCCCATACATTTCCCTTTTGAAAGACATTTCCGAGATTCACAACATACAAGATGTTGTATGACGTTGCGCCCATTCAGGAACAATAACGGCCAAACGAAACAGACAAAGTAAACTGTCTGTAAAGAAATGGGACTGGCTAATTTGATACATTCTAACTCCCTTATGGGAAGGGCTACTTACCCTATAAAATGGAACGCAAGAAATACCATATTGGTAGATCGCCGTGTCACTTCCGGTATGACGCGTGCGTTCCAGAGTGGTTACAGGAAATCAATCAACCAACACACCAGAAAGCCAGCCTCATTTACCGACTGCCTATATAAACGAAACTTCATAAGGACCTAACCACACTTCCGAAGAAGCCTTGGAGAGGCGAAACAGGTAAAGTGGGACTCCTTAAAGTTATTTTATACTGCTTTTATTGTTTTTGTATGGTTAATAAATAGTTTATTTTATTTATATCTTTATTGATCCATCCATTGCTTCCTGGTACCATCACATCCTTTGGTGGGGATTAAACCACTCATGCTGTTTATACCAGAGCAAGTTCTGCTCTAGTAAATGTAAGTACATTACTTTATTATTTCATCTGGATATTCACCAGTACTTGGAGTATCTGGAGTATTTATTTTTTGTATTCACCTCCATATATGTCCTGTATACTGCACCTTATTTTAGGCACCCGTGATGTCCATACCACTCTACACCCTTAGACGGGGATTGTTCTGTCCATGTGCAATACAGCAGAGCTCTGAGTTAGCTCAAAAAAATGTGAGTGGAAACCACACAAGATTATCCACTACTTACTCACTGTACATACTGTACTGCACTATTATTTTTTTGTCCTTTTATGTTTGAGGTCAATTGTGTATACAACCCTAAAGACCTGTGTACGTATAAAATTATTTTGTACATATACCGTTGGACACAGTTTCCCTTACCCTTTTCATACTTCAACTATCCACAAGGCTTGGGAATCCTTGAAATGGTTACTGCAGACTGTATTTATCTTATGTTAAATACTATAATGAGCGCATTTTACCCCTTTTATACTCAGACAGTAACAGCTACTCAGATACCATCAGTCACTCAGTCACTATCAGTCACTCAGACAATAGCAGTCAATCACACACGAACAGTCACTCAGACACTATCCATCACTCAGAAACTATCACTCAGTCACTATATGTCACTGAGACACTGACACTAACTCAAACACTACCGGTCACTCATACATGAACAGTCACTCAGTCAATATCTGTCACTCAGACACTAACAGTCACTCAGTCACTATCCGTCAGTCAGACACTAACAGTCACTCAGACACTAGTAGTCAGTCACAAAAGAACAGTCACTCAGACACTATCCATCACTCAGTCACTATACGTCACTGAGACACTGACACAAACTCAAACACAACCGGTCACTCATACATGAACAGTCACTCAGTCACTATCCGTCACTCAGACACTAACAGTCACTCAGACACTATCTTTCACTCATACATGAACAGTCACTCAGTCACTATCCGTCACTTAGACACTAAAAGTCACTCAGACACTAACAGTGACTCATACATGAACAGTCACTACGTCACTATACGTCACTGAGACACAATCACTAACTCAGACACTTCCGGTCAGTGAGTCACAAACAGTCACTCCCACACTATCCGTCACTCAGACACTAACAGTCACTCACACACTATCCGTCACTCAGACACTAACAGTCACTCACACACTATCGCTCACTCACACACTATCGGTCACTCATAACCAGGAATTTTCTTCCATTTCCGTTAGCTCTATAGAGTTGGAGCACACCTGCCTCCCTGCTTCTTAGTGAGTTGTATTAGTTGAGAAGTATTGGAACTGCGCTGGCGTGCACTGGGCAATACTCAACGTCAAACCTCTGATTGGAGCATTCCCTGGCACAGGCTGGAGAAGAAGACTTTCAATGGCTGCAGACAAGAGATCTGCAGCTCTGCAAGCTGTTTTCAATATACCTCCAATGAACACAATGCATAATAAAATACATGTACGCTTTAATTGGGGTATATCTACTAAATGGTTAAACTTCAATGGAGTGTTCCTTCAGTTCTCTCTCTTATATCCTACAAAGCAGCACTTTTTATTATCTGCTCATCACCATGAAGATGTGATCAGTTTGCAGAAGTACCATTCTAGTTCAGCAGACCTCAATGCTTGGCCGGTAACTAAAATAACATTTTCTCTGTCAGTCAGGGTATATGTGCAATTTATATATCAATATAAGAGCAATGCTGTTTTTAGAATTTTCCGAAACCGCATCAGTTTCCTGTTTTAACTGTGAGAAAGCCGAGTCAGCCTGCACCAACCAACCTTCTCACACTTAGCTAAACACCCAGCTATACACAGTGACCGAATCAGCCTGCACCTACCGACCTTCTCACACTTAGCTAAACACCCAGCTATACCCAGTGACCGAGTCAGCCCGCACCTACCGACCTTCTCACACTCAGCTAAACACCCAGCTATACACAGTGACCGAATCAGCCTGCACCTACCGACCTTCTCACACTTAGCTAAACACCCAGCTATACCCAGTGACCGAATCAGCCTGCACCTACCGACCTTCTCACACTCAGCTAAACACCCAGCTATACACAGTGACCGAGTCAGCCCGCACCTACCGACCTTCTCATACTTAGTTAAACACCCAGCTATACACAGTGACCGAGTCAGCCCGCACCTACCGACCTTCTCACACTTAGCTAAACACCCAGCTATACACAGTGACCGAGTCAGCCTGCACCTACTGACCTCACACTTAGCTAAACACCCAGCTATACACAGTGACCGAGTCAGCCTGCAGCTACCGACCTTCTCACACTCAGCTAAACACCCAGCTATACACAGTGACCGAGTCAGCCTGCACCTACCGGCCTTCTCACACTTAGCTAAACACCCAGCTATACCCAGTGACCGAGTCAGCCTGCACCTACCGACCTTCTCACACTTAGCTAAACACCCAGCTATACCCAGTGACCAAGTCAGCCTGCACCTACCAACCTTCTCACACTTAGCTAAACACCAAGCTATACACAGTGACCGAGTCAGCCTGCACCTACCGACCTTCTCACACTTAGCTAAACACCCAGCTATACACAGTGACCGAGTCAGGTGAAGTAACCATTTATTGTGGGTGGGCTGTATTACTGTTTGTGTGTTGTGGGTGGGCTGCTGGACAAACAAGGGCACTGACCGGCAGGAGGTCAGATACCCTGTTAGTCTGTTTGGAAAAGGGGAGAGATGTGACGAGAGCAATCTCGCCACATTGCATTGGAGAAGCCTGGTTGCTCGCCTGTTGCCTTTGAATTATGTCCCCATGTTAAAAGGCTTGATTTTCCCCTGCAAAGACAAGAAAGCCGGGTCATTTGGTGCTTGCCCTGTTTGAGCAGTGATACCCCAGAGCTATGCCATGGAGCCAATTCGTATAATGAAAGACTATGGGAAAGACTTTGGCTCCATGGCAATTGAACTGTATGTGTGTGCTCTGAGCGCCATTCAGTAATAATGTGCGCTCAGACCTAAGCTATCTGGGCATATGTTGCATGTCTGTATTTTATGTCATAAATGTAACATTGTGTATTTTATTGTATTTTACTGTCTTTTTGCTGCCATGTGTTCAATGGAGTTTTGCCTCTGTCTTTGGAAATAATTGGATTACTTCTAATTATCTCCAGGATAGAAGACTCTGTGGAACTGGTTTTGGGCAGAAAAGCCATGTTTCCTGTGGTCACAAAGGACTACGATCTATCTTTTGAACCACTGGACCAATTTGTATGATTTTGACGTATGTTTGTATTTGGAGTATGCTGATTCTGAAAATGTAAGTGAATGTGATGCATACTTTTCAAGTTATGAATAATGTGGAAAAATTGTATTTCTCTGCTTGTGCTAAATTACATTACCCATTGTGTAAGGTAATTGAATCACATGCAGAGGGGAGGAATTTGTGTGGGAGTGTCTGAGTGTATTGTATGTGTTTATTGGTTGTTTTCCAAAACCCTGTGGGTGGTACTTATGTGTAAGAATGTGTACATAAGCACAATAAACCCACAGCTCTGTCTGTTCACTGCTTGACCCTCAGCATAGAGCTTTGTCTTGTTCTTGGGGGGATTTACTGTATTCTGTTCCAGTTTGACTGCTAGGAGTGTAAACCTATTTGTATGTTTTTTCCTATTCGGCTGTTTACAGCATTCGTATGGTTTCCTGTTCGGCGGATTGGTGTTCTGCAGTAGCTGTGCCTGTGTCTATGGAAGGGGAAGATCTACTAAACGGTTTTTACCCCTTGTGTGCAAAACGGCCCGTTACAGGGGTCGTATTAAATTTGATTTGGGGTAGTATTAAATCTGATTTCGGGTCATATTAAACCTGATTTGGGATGATACTAAACCTGATTTGGGGTCGTATTAAATCTGATTTGGTGTCATATGAAACCTGATTTGGGGTGTTATTATTGTTGTCCAAATACAGGCACTACTTTACTGTATAGGCTTCTTTTCCTGGTTTTATTATCAGACAGAGAATAAATCTTGCATTTGTTTTGGTGTGTCCGAGAAGGGTAAGGCATGGCTATCTCTAACGAGTGCCTGATATCAAAAGAGATCTAATTATTGTTAGCAGTTTCCTTTGTCAGTGCTATAACTATATATCTGCTCTGTGTCCTATCTGGTTAATTTAGTCTAAAATAAAGCAAGCAGAATGTGGCTGTAATGTAAGGAACCAAAATAATATCGGATATCTAAATAAAGGAAAGTAATGACTCTGCAGAATAGCGTCCAATGTACATGAAGCTCTATTATACAGTTGAACACTTCCTATTTAAAAGTAACATTTTAATGATTCATAATGGGTTTCCCAACTTGGGCAGAAATTGCTGGACCAGCTGAAATCCCAGCAGGCACAATATTAAATAATTAGCTGTTTATTCGTTAGGGTTGGTAACAGCCAGGAGCCCCAACAGCCATCAACAACCTGTGGTAGTTTAAACACCCCCAGTGTCAGGAGCGAAGGCTTAGACTCTGTACCAGAACCTTCACTGCTACAAAAGGGACAGACCAGCACTGAAATGAGTAGGGCACTCAATGTCAGAATGCTAGCACAGCTGTAACCAAGACACTGTACATTCCACTGCATTGTGTATTGTAGCAAAATGAAATGGCAAAATTTAGACAATAGCCGATTTGGAAATATTCCCCAACTTACGCTGTACCCAGCTAAAATTATACAATTCAGGTTTTTATTCACTAAAATTTGTTGGTTAGTGACTAAATCCTATTAATGATAACACTGGTTGGTTAGTGACTAAATCCTATTAATGACAGCACAGGTAGGTTAGTAACTAAATCCTATTAATGATTGCACGGGTAGGTTAGTAACTAAATCCTATTAATGATAGCATGGGTAGGTTAGTAACTAAATCCTATTAATGATAACACTGGTAGGTTAGTAACTAAATCCTATTAATGCTAGCACGGGTAGGTTAGTAACTAAATCCTATTAATAATAGCACGGGTTGGTTAGTAACTAAATCCTATTAATGATAGCACTGGTAGGTTAGTGACTAAATCCTATTAATGATAGCACTGGTAGGTTAGTAACTAAATCCTATTAATGATAGCACTGGTTGGTTAGTGACTAAATCTTATTAATGATAGCACGGGTAGGTTAGTAACTAAATCCTATTAATGATAGCACGGGTTGGATAGTGACTAAATCTTAATAATGATAGCACTGGTATGTTAGTAACTAAATCCTATTAATGATAGCACTGGTAGGTTAGTAACTAAATCCTATTAATGATAGCACTGGTAGGTTAGTAACTAAATCCTATTAGTGATAGCGCTGGTAGGTTAGTAACTAAATCCTATTAATGATAGCGCTGGTTGGTTAGTAACTAAATCCTATTAATGATAGCACTGGTAGGTTAGTAACTAAATCCTATTAATGATAGCACTGGTAGGTTAGTAACTAAATCCTATTAATGATAGCACTGGTAGGTTAGTGACTAAATCCTATTAATGATAGCACTGGTAGGTTAGTGACTAAATCCTATTAATGATAGCACTGGTAGGTTAGTAACTAAATCCTATTAATGATAGCACTGGTAGGTTAGTAACTAAATCCTATTAATGATAGTACTGGTAGGTTAGTGACTAAATCATTTTAATGATAGCACTGGTAGGTTAGTGACTAAATCCTATTAATGATAGCACTGGTAGGTTAGTAACTAAATCCTATTAATGATAGCACTGGTAGGTTAGTAACTAAATCCTATTAATGATAGTACTGGTAGGTTAGTGACTAAATCATTTTAATGATAGCACTGGTAGGTTAGTAACTAAATCCTATTAATGACAGCACTGGTAGGTTAGTAAATAAATCCTATTAATGATAGCACTGGTAGGTTAGTAAATAATTCCTATTAATGATAGCACTGGCAGGTTAGTAACTAAATCCTATTAATGATAGCACTGGTAGGTTAGTAACTAAATCCTATTAATGATAGCACGGTTTGGTTAGTAACTAAATCCTACTAATGATAGCACTGGTAGGTTAGTAACTAAATCCTATTAGTGATAGCACTGGTAGGTTAGTGACTAAATCCTATTAATGATAGCACTGGTATGTTAGTAACTAAATCCTATTAATGATAGCACTGGTAGGTTAGTAACTAAATCCTATTAGTGATAGCGCTGGTAGGTTAGTAACTAAATCCTATTAATGATAGCACTGGTAGGTTAGTAACTAAATCCTATTAATGATAGTACTGGTAGGTTAGTGACTAAATCATTTTAATGATAGCACTGGTAGGTTAGTAACTAAATCCTATTAATGACAGCACTGGTAGGTTACTAAATAAATCCTATTAATGATAGCACTGGTAGGTTAGTAAATAATTCCTATTAATGATAGCACTGGCAGGTTAGTAACTAAATCCTATTAATGATAGCACTGGTAGGTTAGTAACTAAATCCTATTAATGATAGCACGGTTTGGTTAGTAACTAAATCCTACTAATGATAGCGCTGGTAGGTTAGTAACTAAATCCTATGAATGATAGCACTGGTAGGTTAGTAACTAAATCCTATTAATGATAGCACTGGTAGGTTAGTAACTAAATCCTATTAATGATAGCATGGGTTGGTTAGTAACTAAATCCTATTAATGATAGCACTGGTAGGTTAGTAACTAAATCCTATTAATGATAGCACTGGTAGGTTAGTAACTAAATCCTATTAATGATAGCATGGGTTGGTTAGTAACTAAATCCTATTAATGATAGCACGGGTTGGTTAGTAACTAAATCCTATTAATGATAACACTGGTAGGTTAGTAACTAAATCCTATTAATGATAACACTGGTAGGTTAGTAACTAAATCCTATTAATGATAACACTGGTAGGTTAGTAACTAAATCCTATTAATGATAGCACTGGTAGGTTAGTAACTAAATCCTATTAATGTTAGCACTGGTAGGTTAGTAACTAAATCCTATTAATGATAGCACTGGTAGGTTAGTGACTAAATCGTATTAATGATAGCACTGGTAGGTTAGTAACTAAATCCTATTAGTGATAGCACTGGTAGGTTAGTAACTAAATTCTATTAATGATAGCACTGGTAGGTTAGTAACTAAATCCTATTAATGACAGCACTGGTAGGTTAGTAAATAAATCCTATTAATGATAGCACTGGTAAGTTAGTAAATAATTCCTATTAATGATAGCACTGGCAGGTTAGTAACTAAATCCTATTCATGATAGCACTGGTAGGTTAGTAACTAAATCCTATTAATGATAGCACGGTTTGGTTAGTAACTAAATCCTATGAATGATAGCACTGGTAGGTTAGTAACTAAATCCTATTAATGATAGCACTGGTAGGTTAGTAACTAAATCCTATTAATGATAGCATGGGTTGGTTAGTAACTAAATCCTATTAATGATAGCACGGGTTGGTTAGTAACTAAATCCTATTAATGATAGCACTGGTAAGTTAGTAAATAATTCCTATTAATGATAGCACTGGCAGGTTAGTAACTAAATCCTATTAATGATAGCACTGGTAGGTTAGTAACTAAATCCTATTAATGATAGCACGGGTTGGTTAGTAACTAAATCCTACTAATGATAGCGCTGGTAGGTTAGTAACTAAATCCTATGAATGATAGCACTGGTAGGTTAGTAACTAAATCCTATTAATGATAGCACTGGTAGGTTAGTAACTAAATCCTATTAATGATAGCATGGGTTGGTTAGTAACTAAATCCTATTAATGATAGCACGGGTTGGTTAGTAACTAAATCCTATTAATGATAACACTGGTAGGTTAGTAACTAAATCCTATTAATGATAGCACTGGTAGGTTAGTAACTAAATCCTATTAATGTTAGCACTGGTAGGTTAGTAACTAGTTACATAGTTACATAGTTACATAGCTGAAAAGAGACTTGCGTCCATCAAGTTCAGCCTTCCTCACATTTGTTTTTTGCTGTTGATCCAAAAGAAGGCAAAAAAACCCAGTTTGAAGCACAATTTTGCAACAAGCTAGGAAAAAAATTCCTTCTTGACCACAGAATGGCAGTCAGATTTATCCTTGGATCAAGCAGTTATTACCCTACATTGAAAGATTATATCCTTGAATATTCTGTTCTTGCAAGTATGCATCTAGTAGCCGTTTGAACATCTGTATGGACTCTGATGAAACCACTTCCTCAGGCAGAGAATTCCACATCCTGATTGTTCTTACAGTAAAAAAACCTTTCCTTTGCCTTAGGCGAAATCTTCTTTCTTCCAGTCTAAACGCATGGCCTCGTGTCCTATGTAAAGTCCGGTTTATGAACTAGATCCTATTAATGATAGCACTGGTAGGTTAGTGACTAAATCGAATTAATGATAGCACTGGTAGGTTAGTAACTAAATCCTATTAGTGATAGTACTGGTAGGTTAGTAACTAAATTCTATTAATGATAGCACTGGTAGGTTAATAACTAAATCCTATTAGTACATAGCTGAAAAGAGACTTGCGTCCATCAAGTTCAGCCTATTAATGATAGCACTGGTAGGTTAGTAACTAAATCCTATTAGTGATGGCACTAGTAGGTTAGTAACTAAATCCTATTAATGATAGAACTGGTAGGTTAGTGACTAAATCTTATTAATGATAGCACTGGTTGGTTAGTAACTAAATTCTATTAGTGATAGCACTGGTAGGTTACTAACTAAATCCTATAAGTGATAGCACTGGTAGGTTAGTGACTAAATCCTATTAATGATAGCACTGGTAGGTTAGTGACTAAATCCTATTAAGGATAGCACTGGTAGGTTATTGACAGCAGTGGTAGGTTAGTGACTAAACCCCAATTACTGGGGAACAGTTCCCCATGCAAGGGGTTTTCAGATTGGTATTGCAGGGGTTTTAATCAAGGTTATTTCCCAGTGTGCCCTGCTGTACTGGAGAGATAATCACCCAAGAATATAATGTTAATTGGATTATCTCTCAGTACAGCAAAAAATAATAGTTTACACAAAAATACTTAATTTGTAAAATATGTGTTAGATTTAAGCCCGAATGACCCCTCAGTGAATAACTGGGGTCTGAGCGCACCATCTGGTGAAATACCGCTCAGATCCCTGCATTATTAAACGAAAGCGATTCGAATTACGGTTTCAGACGAACAGACCTTGTAATGTGAAAATATACTGGTAGCTTTAATATGCCGAAAGAATAATCCATCCAAACGGTCTAGAAGTCCAGCGGTGTTCGTGAAGTCGAGTAGCTGATTTTAGTTCCAGGCACTTGATGACCAAACACTGCTGGGCTTTCGTGAGCAAAGATGGCCGCTGCCACGTGTTCGGCATACGAACGGCTGCCACCCGGGACATACATTAACAGGCTGCGGATACATTGTTGCAATTTTTAATGGGAGACACACGACCCCCTTGTGTGGTCTCCCATTCGGTAGTTTGTTCGTTTAACGAACAGTGGTGAAATTCACTGTTCGTGAAACTACCATGTGAATGCTAGCGGCTTTCGTGCCGCTAGCATACGAATGCTCTCTAACACATGTAAAGCGGAACATAAAATAAAGCAATACAGCCATATCCCTGCAGTCTGCAAGACAACCCTTACACATACATACAGTCTTAAGTGGCTAGGTTTGCCACAAGCTTAGTGGTGTACTAGCAAAACCATTAACAGATTTATTTAACCAATCATTGTTAACAGGAGTAGTCCCAGAAGATTGGAAGTTAGCGAATGCTGTGCCCATTTACAAGAAATTTAATAGGGAGAAGTCGGGCAACTATAGGCCAGTAAGCCTTACTTCAGTAGTGGGGAAAGTAATGGAAACCATGTTAAAGGATAGGATTGTTGAACATCTAAAAACACATGGATTTCAAGATCAGAGACAACATGGGTTTACTTCAGGGAGATCATACCAAACTAATCTTATTGATTTTTTTTGATTGGGTAACTAAAATTATAGATCAGGGTGGTGCAGTAGACATTGCTTACCTAGATTTCAGTAAGGCTTTTGACACTGTTGCACATAGAAGGCTTATCACTAAACTGCAATCTTTAAGTTTGGATTCCAATATTGTTGAATGGGTAAGGCAGTGGCTGAGTGACAGGCAACAGAGGGTTGTAGTCAATGGAGTATATTGGAAGCATGGGGTACCTCAGGGAAGCATGGGGTACCTCAGGGATCTGTACTTGGACCCATTCTCTTTAATATTTTTATTAGCGATATTGCAGAAGGTCTTGATGGTAAGGTATGTCTTTTTGCTGATGATACTAAGATATGTAACAGGGTTGATGTTCCAGGAAGGATAAGCCAAATGGCAAATGATTTAGGTAAATTAGAACTGGCAACTGACATTTAATGCATCTTGGACGTAAAAACCCAAGGGCAGGGTACATAATATTTGATAGAGTCCTAACTTCAACATCTGAAGAAAGGGATTTAGGGGTGATTATTTCTGATGACTTAAAAGTAGGCAGACAATGTAATAGAGCAGCAGGAAATGCTAGCAGAATGCTTGGTTGTATAGGGAGAGGTATTAGCAGTAGAAAGAGGGAAGTGCTCATGCCATTGTACAGAACACTGGTGAGACCTCACTTGGAGTATTGTACACAGTACTGGAGACCGTATCTTCAGAAGGATATTGATACCTTAGAGAGGGTTCAGAGAAGGGCTACTAAACTGGTTCATGGATTGCAGGATAAAACTTACCAGGAAAGGTTAAAGGATCTTAACATGTATAGCTTGGAGGAAAGACGAGACAGGGGGGATATGATAGAAACATTTAAATACATAAAGGGAATCAACACAGTAAAGGAGGAGACTATATTTAAAAGAAGAAAAACTACCACAACAAGAGGACATAGTCTTAAATTAGAGGGACAAAGGTTTAAAAATAATATCAGGAAGTATTACTTTACTGAGAGGGTAGTGGATGCATGGAATAGCCTTCCAGCTGAAGTGGTAGAGGTTAACACAGTAAAGGAGTTTAAGCATGCGTGGGATAGGCATAAGGCTATCCTAACTATAAGATAAGGCTAGGGACTAATGAAAGTATTTAGAAAATTGGGCAGACTAGATGGGCCGCATGGTTCTTATCTGCCGTCACATTCTATATGTTTCTAGAGGTTAGTGACTATGGAAAATCTAGCCACTTACAGAGTGTAACTGTATATTTTATGCTATTGCCCCTATTGTTTGTTTCCCCGAATAAAAGATCAATATATGAAGCATTCATGTGTTACAGCACACGAATACCGCTAGTATTCAGCTTGGTTATCCATGAACAGTGAATCACCGCACTGTTCGTGGAACAAGCAAAGTATTGAATGGGAGACCACCCCCCAGCAGGTCGTGTGTCTCCAATTAGGTATTTTGCAACAGTGTATCCGTGCTAAGTAATGTATGTTGCGGGTGGCCGCCGTTCGTGTAACGAACACGTGGTGGCGGCCATCTTTGTTCTCGGAGAGCCAGCGGGGCTTTGTCGTCGAGTGCCTGGAACTAAATTCTGCTACTCGGCAACACAAGCGCAAGTGTATGATGGGTAATCTGTCTGTAAACTCAGTCCCCCATGTAGTCCCCTACTGGACAAACCCTGTAATGTGACTTGGGAAACCCCTTACATTTGTAATCGCATAAATACTGTGACCTGTGATTAAAACCTCAGTTGACCTCCAAGCTATGTGTCGTCTAGTTCTTGGGAGGAAGGGATTGTAACTACGCTACCTGCATTTTGTCTACTTTGTACCTGCTTTATTCTGTCTGCCAGCGAAGATACCGTGGATAATACTACTACTCCGCTACAGTAACTAAACCCCAGTTAGTGATAGTTGTGGTAAATAGGTTAAAAATAATTCAAACAATCTGACATTTTATGGTGACAAAGTGACAATGTACACAAACATGACAAATAGGTAAAACAAGTCATGTATGTATATAATATTTATAGTGCAAACAAGCATTCTGGAGAAATTCCTGCCCTGGGCCAAGTTGTATATTTTGAGGTCAGATCATTGTGGCGTGTTTAGTTAACCCTTACATACTAACTGGAGGAATCGTGTTCATAAACTAGTGACAGGAACAGAATAGCTGGCCAGAGATAAACTCAAAGTCTGACACAATTTTATGATCCTCACAGGTTATTTATCAGGCAGAAACCTATACCGCAGCGCTGTACAATAAGTCTAAATGAGTTGTGTGTTTTTTCTACAATCCCCCCATGGTGAAGCCACTTACTTGCGTGTGAGGAATCCGTGAAACCAGTCTGGATATTCCCCATTAATGATCAGCTTTCTCCTCTGAGTATTCTGGAACCAGTGCAGAGTTTCCTCTTTCAATTGCCTTGCTGGTTTCTTAGACATGTGTTTGCGGAGGGTGCAGGCAGGGGCTGTGTGGTTAGTCTGCGAGGAAACACACACTATAACCTAGCCCTTCAAAGAAGGATGTTTGTCATATGGAGCACACGTTGCGTTTTCTTTTTCTATTTGTGTTTTTTTTTTTTATTTGCCAAATTTAGAGTGTCAAAAATATCAGCAAAATAAAAAGGCTATTCTGGGGCAAACTTCTGTAAGGAGCAGTTACCACGAATACCAACTGAATGCTCCACTTTTAGCAAATTGCAACAAAACATACAAAACATGACATTAGAACGGAAAGTGTAATAATATTAATACAATCAAAACTGCATAACACATGTAAACACTGTAAATAATTTAATAAATGTAAATAATATCACGCGGAAATTAAAAAAAAAAAAATCTGCATTTCAGTTTTCCAAGTACACTGGGCACATAAAGAGGAAATTTAACAGAGCTGTCACAGAACAGACAACTTTTTAAACAGTTTTAAAGATAAAGAATAAAATGTAATCTGTATATTTATATTGTGACAGTAGAATTGCTAGCAATGTCTAGATTTATCTATGGATCTATATAAAGATATTCTCGCTCCCCTCAGTTTTTAATCATTTATCTCTTATCTGCATTTCTTCTCTGATAAAGAAGGTCCCCGGGAGCTCAGTGCTATAGGAAGGGGTGACCGTCACATCCAGGTACACTGACAAAACGTTCGCAAAGGGTTTGAATACTTACCCTGCGAGGGTGTCCGGGCACGCTTGGCAGCAATAAATAAATAATATATAATAAATGTAAATAAGTAAAAATGAACAGCAAATTAGCAATGGAATCTCTTGTGTCAGCACACACCATCTCCTGCAGACAGCAGAAAGGCTGGCTGAGACTCTTGGGAGTCCTCAAACAACACTGGCCTAAAACAATGAGCTCTAATCGCTAAACACTGACCTAGTTACTTAAAAGCTGAAGTGCATAATTTAGGCACAAATATCTGATTTAGAAGCAATTCTCCAGTACGATCACAGCTTGCTTCTTGTAGTCCACATTGTTATCCTTAAGTTTCAATTTGCTGCAATTTACTATTAAGTGAATACTCCGCTATTTAACTAAAATAGATATCAAACAGGTGAAACATTAAATCTGAAAAATACATTTCAAAACATGTCTTCGGGCAATTTACCACTTAATATCTAGAGCCCTGGGATTCACTATGGCAATGAACGCACGATTTCTATAGCCCAAATTAGAGAGACTCCAGAAAATAAGTTACACACTTTGTATGTTTGTAAATATTTTTCTGCAGAATTTTTGCTGTTTCAACTCCAAACAGTCAAACATTTGGCACACTTTTTGTTCAGAAGAAAATCAGTTAAGCTTCCTACGTTCACAGCAGTAAGTTAGAAAGAAATTCTTTTATGTTTAGTGAAAAGAAAACCACTGTGCATATTACGAGAGGCAGAGAAAATTCAAGCTTATTATGTTTTGCATAGCAACTGAAAGGTGTGAATTCATTGCAACATGTATCGTAAAGAAGAGTTTTATCGATGGAAGATACAGGACAGGATGTAAACAAGTTAAACTTGCAGCTAGAATTAAGATAACGCAACTCGGGATGGAAAGCCAATCCAGACATGAAAGACTGGCAAAGCAAATATTGTAAGCAAACATTGTACAATGTGTGTAAAGTCATGCAAGAAATGGCTCCTGGTAAAATATAATTTAAGAGACACTAGAATCACAAAAACAACTTTAGCTTAATGAAGCAGTTTTGGTCTATAGATCATATCCCTGCAGTCTCACTGCTCAATTCTCTGCCATTTAGGAGTTAAATCACTTTGTTTATACACCCTAGTCACACCTCCCTGCATGTGACTTGCACAGCCTTCCTAAACACTTCCTGTAAAGAGTCATCTAATGTTTACACTTCCTTTGTTGCATAGTCTGTTCAACTTATTATCTCATGCTCTGCTAATAGTTTGCTAGACCCTACAGAAGCCTCCTGTATGTAATTATAGTTCAATTTACAGAATAGGAGATACAAACTTTTAAAGTAAGTTAACATATTATTATTATGATATTTATATAGCGCCATCAAATTCCGCAGCGCTTTACAATGGGTGGACAAACAGACATGTAGTTGTAACCAGACAAGTTGGACACACAGGAACAGAGGGGTTGAGGGCCCTGCTCAATGAGCTTACATGCTAGAGGGAGTGGGGTAAAATGACAGTATTAGACTAGTGACAGTTACAGAAGAGGAATCAGTCAGGAGCTATTAACCGTTTAATTGATATGCTTTTATGAAGAAGTGGGTTTTTAACGATTTTTTGAGTGGAGACTGGGTGAGCATCTAACGGAGGAGGGAAGCGAGTTCCACAGGAACGGTGCAGCCCTCGAGAAGTCTTGAAAGCGAGCATCAGAGGTGGGAGTACGGACAGAAGATAGACGTAAGTCTTCGGCAGATCGTAAGGGCCTAGACGGTACATACTTGTGTATAAGGGAGGATAGATAGGTGGGAGCAGCAATTGTCATGGGAGTCGTATCCCAACACGCAGGAAAGAGGAAACCCACAAAAGGTGAATCCGAAAGATGTATTACCGAGCCTTAGAATTGGTGGACTTAACGTATTAATACAACAAGAAACAGAGTCAAGATAAATAAAGGACAGAATAACAGAAATACTCAAAGTCGGGTCAGAATACCAGAAATTACGAGTCAAGACAAAGCCGGTGTCAGGATACCAGAAATTACGAGTCAAAGATGAAGCAGAGTTCAGGATACCAGAAATTACGAGTCAAGACAGAAATCACAAAGTCAATATGAAGCCGAGATCAGGATACCAGAAATCACGAAATCAAGACAAAGCCGGTTCAGGATATCCAAAATCATGAAGTCAATACGAAGCCGGGTCAGGATATCATAAATCACAAAGTCAATACGAAGCCGAGATCAGGATACCAGAAATCACAAAGTCAATACGAAGCCGGGTCAGGATACCAGAAATCACAAAGTCAATATGAAGCCAAGATCAGGATACCAGAAATCACAAAGTCAAAATAAAGCTGGGTCAGGATACCAGAAATCACGAAGTCAATACGAAGCCGAGATCAGGATACCAGAAATCACGAAGTCAATACGAAGTCGAGGTCAGGATACCAGAAATCACAAAGTCAATATGAAGCCGGGTAAGAATACCAGAAATCCCGAAGTCAAGACAAAGCCGAGATCAGGATACCCAAAATCACAAAGTCAATACGAAGCCAGGTCAGGATACCAGAAATCACGTAGTCAATACAAAGCCGAGATCAGAATACCAGAAATCACGAAGTCAAGACAAAGCCGAGATCAGGATACCCGAAATCACAAAGTCAATACGAAGCCGGGTCAGGATACCAGAAATCACAAGGTCAATACGAAGCTGAGGTCAGGATACCAGAATTCCCAAGGGAATCTCTAGGAGCACTAAACGATGATCTAACAGATAGAGCAATGAATGGGGGCTAAAACAAGCCTTAAATAGGCTTACCTATGTTCTGATAAATCCACGTTATCACTGCGCTCCAAGACAGATAAGGATCGCAATGATGACGTGGTCACTTTAAGAGTGGACGTGACATCACGTCCACATCTATTTAGAGATGTACTCGAGCGAAGTTCGGCAAGATGTCGCAGCAGGAGGAGCTCTGCACGGCTTGCGGGAGGCGAGTCTCCCTCAGTGAGCAGCGCAGTTGCGTGGAGTGGTCGGACCGAGCAGCAGAAGGAGGTCTCCGCGGCTCGGTGGAGGTAAGTAATGCCACAAAAATGAAACCATTTGGTTTGCATGCAGGTTGTGTCAATCACAGCCAGGGGAGGTGTAACTAGAGCTGGATAAACAGAAACAAAACTGATTCAACTCCTAAATTGCAGAGAATTAACAGTGAGACTGCAGGGAGATGATCTATACACCAAAACTGCTTCATTAAAGGAACACTATAGTCACCTAAATTTCTTTAGCTAAATAAAACAGTTTTAGTGTATAGATCATTCCCCTGCAATTTCACTGCTCAATTCACTGTCATTTAGGAGTTAAATCACTTTGTTTCTGTTTATGCAGCCCTGGCCACACCTCCCCTGGCTGTGATTGACAGAGCCTGCATGAAAAAAAAAACTGGTTTCACTTTCAGACAGATGTAATTTACCTTAAATAATTGTATCTCAATCTCTAAATTGAACTTTAATCACATACAGGAGGCTCTTGCAGGGTCTAGCAAGCTATTAACATAGCAGGGGATAAGAAAATCTTAATTAAACAGAACTTGTAATAAAGAAAGCCTAAATAGGGCTCTCTTTACAGGAAGTGTTTATGGAAGGTGTGACGAGACCAATCTCGCCACATTGCATTGGAGAAGCCTGGTTGCTCGCCTGCTGCCTTTGGACTATGGCCCCTTTTAAAAGACATCTTTTTTACCTGCAGAAAAGCTTCATTCGTGCTTTTCTGCCTGGGGTTTGGTAGTTTTGGTTGAATGTGTTATACCCCAGATAGGAATCCCATGGAGCCCATTCATATGAAACTGACTGTAAAGACTTTGGCTCCATGGTGATTAAATTGTATTTGTGTGGTCTGAGCGCCATTCACTTAATAATGTGCGCTCAGACCTGAGCTATCTGGGGATATGTTACATGTCTGTGTTTTATGTGTAAATGTGACTTTATGTATTTTAAAGTGTTTTGTGTCTTTTTGCAACCATGTGCTTAATGGAGTCTTGTGTCTGTCCTGGGAGATAATTCAATTACTTATCTCCAGGATAGAAGACTCTGAATCTGGTTTGGGCCAGAAAGCCATGCTTCATTTAGTCACAAAGGACTTTTTACTAACTGTTGAACCCCTTGTCTGATTTGTGCCATTTTTGAATATGTTGTTCCCCTGAATGGATTGATTGAGAATATGTAATTTTATGTGAATGTGATGTATGGTTTTAGAGTTATGAAAGTTGGGTAGAAAGTATGTTTTAACTGTATGTGTAATTGAGTTTCCTCTCAGGATAAAGGGAGGGAATATGTGGGATGTAACTGTGATGTGATTGGTTGTTTTATACCTCCCTGTGGGCGGTCCTGTATTTGCAAGACGGTAATAAAAACCAGGCTGGGTGTGCCAGCACCTCAGACCACTGCTTGACCCTCAACACGGAGCCTTGTCTCGTTCTTGGGGGGATTCACTGTATGCTGTTAGAGACTGATTGCCAGGAGTGTAAGCCGCTTGGAAGCTTTTCCTGTTCGCCTGCTAGCAGCTATTCGTATGGTTCCTGTTCGTTTATTTGAAGTGCTACCTTATTCCCTTGTATGCCGTTCGGGAGTTTGGAGCATTCATTTCTTGGCGGTTCGTGAGTTTTGGTGCTTATTCAGTAGCTGTGCCTGTCTCTGAAAAGGGGGATTATCGTCTAAGTGGTTTTTTCCCCTTTTGTGCAAAACGGTCCGTTACAATTGGTGGCAAGTGGCGGGATCGTTCCCACAGACTACAGGACAGCTACAGGCGACACCATTCCGTGGATTTTTTACAATTTGAGGGCAACGCATGTCCCAGTACAGCGACCCTGACAGCACCGAGATGGAACCAGCAGTGGAGTATGATGAGGGTGCCATGGATGACCAAGATGCAGTCCGTAAAGGCATCTGGTACCAGGCACTGGGTATTGCGGAGTACCAGCGGGGCGAGAGATTCCCCAAGGAAGACCAGCGGTTGCAGAAGCGAGTAGCCCTGCGGATGCCCTTCCTGGGAGAGCAGCCCCTGGAAGAATGGGTGAGGAAATTGGAACACCTAGTATGGCAGGAGATGTGGCTAGAAGATGCCTACCAGGCACTCTGGTGGTATGGGGCACAATACCTGCCCTGGAAAGCCGAGCATGACAAGCCAGAGGGAGAGGAGTTTGATGGTCCTGGCTTGTTATGGGAGACTTTTGCAGAGCCTGAGTTTGGGAGCCCTACACAAGTCCGGTTCAGTGATCTCTTTGAGTGGAGGGAGAGCAGGTATGACTGGGACGACACTCACGAAATTGAGCAAGACCTGGTCCACCTGGTGACCCGAGAGATGGAGCTGGAACAGGGTTACCAAAATCTGTTCCACTCCAGTGAGAAGGCTCAGCAGGGAAGCGGAGACCCAGATCCAGACCCATTCAGCTGGGAAGATATTGTGGAGTGTTACTGGGAAGAACCCCAGGTGGCCGGTGGAGATGGGACCAAGGTCTCTCCACCGGTCCTGCAGGGAATTGGGAGCCCAGTCTCCATTCCCCAGCGGCCGTGTGATTTATTGGGAATTGGGAGCCCAGTCTCCATTCCCCAGCGGGAGATATTGCAGGGAATTGGGAGCCTGAGCTCCATTCCCCAGCTGCAGGCTGAGTTACAGGGGACAGAGATAGTCGCTCCTGTCCCCCAGCAGCAGAATGAATTGCAGGGAATTGGGAGCCCGAGCTCCATTCCCCAGCGGGAGAAATTGCAGGGAATTGGGAGCCCGACCTCCATTCCCCAGCGGGAGATATTGCAGGGAATTGGGAGCCTGAGCTCCATTCCCCAGCGGCAGGCTGAGTTACAGGGGGCAGAGGTAGTTGTTCCTGCCCCCAGCAGCAGAGTGATATGCCGGGAAGGCAGTGTAAAGTGCAGGGAGAGGAGAACAGCGTCCTCCCTCCCCAGCGGCAGGCTGAGATACAGGGGGCAGAGGTAGTTGTTCCTGCCCCCCAGCAGCCAAGTGATATGCCGGGAAGGCAGTGGGAAGTCCAGGGAGAGGAGAGCAGTGTCCTCCCTCCCCAGCGGCAGCGTGATTTTTTGGGAATTGGGAGCCCAGTCTCCATTCCCCAGCGGCAGAATGATGCTTTGGGAATTGGGAGCCCAGTCTCCATCCCCCAGCGGCAGCACAGATCATTGGGAATTGGGAGCCCCGTCTCCATTCCCCAGCGGCAGAGTGTCCTACTGGGAATAGAGAGCCCAGTCTCCTTTCCCCAGCAGCAGGACTCTGTATTGGGAGCAGAGACAGTCGGTCTCCCTCCCCCACAGCTGGAAGTATGTATGGGAGAGGAGCTTGTTACCCCTCTCCCCAGCGGCAGCTTAATGTACAAAGGGGAGACAGTAAGCCCCACAACCGTGCAGATGGGACCGTAGTCTCTACACTGCCAGCACAGGGGGTAGGGACGGTCGGTCCTGCCCCCCAGCGACAGGGCTGTTTAGCCAAAGAGGAGACAATCGGTCTCCCCCTCCAGCAGCAGAGATGGGTAACCAAAGGGGAGACGGTCGGTCTCCAGCAGCAGGACTGTGCATCTAAAGGGGAGACAGTCAGTCTCCAGCAGCAGCAGCAGAGCTGTGTATTTAAAGGGGAGACAGTCGGTCTCCCCCTCCAACAACCAGGCTTCCACCAGGCTACCCTCCCAGTAGCGGCGCTAAGTAACAGGGCAGAGTGCCGCTGGTCTTCGCCCACGCAGCAAGCAACCCACCAAGAAGCGTATTCGCATCTGTAGCATTGGAAGCCGTAGCGGGTGAGGCACCTGGACATGGACAAAGTTCTCCTCTACCCAGGTGTAGTAACCATTTATTGTGGGTGGGCTGTATTACTGATTGTGTGTTGTGGGTGGGCTGCTGGACTAACAAGGGCACTGACCCGCAGGAGGTCAGATACCCTGTTAGTCGATTAGGAAAAGGGGAGAGATGTGACGAGACCAATCTCGCCACATTGCATTGGAGAAGCCTGGTTGCTCGCCTGTTGCCTTTGGACTATGGCCCCATGTTAAAAGCCTTCTTTTCCCCTGCAGAAAAGCTTCATTCGTGCTTTTCTGCCTGGGGTTTGTGAAGTTTTGGTTGAATGTGTTATATACCCCAGATGGGAATCCCATGAAGCCCATTCGTATGAAACTGACTGTAAAGACTTTGGCTCCATGGCGATTAAACTGTATTTGTGTGGTCCGAGCGCCATTCACTTAATAATGTGCGCTCAGACCTGAGCTATCTGGGGATATGTGAAATGTCTGTGTGTTATGTGTAAAATGTGACTTTATGTATTTTAAAGTGTTTTGTGTCTTTTGCAACCATGTGCTTAATGGAGTCTTGTGTCTGTCCTGGGAGATAATTGAATTACTTATCTCCAGGATAGAAGACTCTGAAACTGGTTTGGGCCAGAAAGCCATGCTTCATTTAGTCACAAAGGACTTTTTACTAACTTTTGAACCCCTTGTCTGATTTGTGCCATTTTTGAATATGTTGTTCCCCTGAATGGATTGATTGTGAATATGTAATTTTATGTGAATGTGATGTATGGTTTTGGAGTTATGAAAGTTGGGTAGAAAGTATGTTTTAACTGTATGTATAATTGAGTTTCCTCTCAGGATAAGGGGAGGGAATATGTGGGATGTAACTGTGATGTGATTGGTTGTTTTATACCTCCCTGTGGGCGGTCCTGTATTTGCAAGACTGTAATAAAAACCAGGCTGGGTGTGCCAGCACCTCAGACCACTGCTTGACCCTCAACACGGAGCCTTGTCTCGTTCTTGGGGGGATTCACTGTATGCTGTTAGAGACTGATTGCCAGGAGTGTAAGCTGATTGTCTGCTTTTCCTGTTCGTCTGCTAGCAGCTATTTGGGAGGTTCCAGTTCGGGAGTTGGAGTGCTATTTTGTATCCAGTTCGGGAGTTTGGTGTTCTGCAGTAGCTGTGCCTGTATCTCTGAAAGGGGGCCGATCGCCTAAACGGTTTTTACCCCTTGTGTGCAAAACGGTCCGTTACAGAAGGCTGTGCAAGTCACATGCAGGGAGGTGTGACTAGGGTTCATAAACAAAGGGATTTAACTCCTAAATGGCAGAGGATTGAGCAGTGAGGCTGCAGGGGCATGTTCTATACACTAAAACTGCTTCATTAAGCTAAAGTTGTTCAGGTAACTATAGTGTCCTTTTAAGCTAAAGTTGCTCTAGTGACTATAGTGTCCCTTTAAATAAATAATATATGTAATGCTGAGTCTTATGATGGTGTCAGTGCAAGGTGTAAATGAAAACCCCAGAATGCAATAAGACGTAGTCATACTCCATTGGTAAGCAGGGAAGTTAGTCAATGATAGCACAAAGTTAAAGGGTTACTCAAAGCACCATGACCACGTCTGTGACTTGGAAGTGTTTGTGGTGATAGAGTCTGTATGTGCAGCATTCTAATAAGAGATATAGCACATTGCTGCACTTGTAGCAGCGACACTCCGAGTAATGTTAAAGGGACACTATAGACACCCAGACCCCTTCATCTCTCCTAAGTCCCACAATATAAAACATTCCAGTATTAGAGAAACTGCTTTACATTGCAGAGTTACCAGACAGGTGCTTCCTGCTGAGTTTAACGCATTGCATGAGGACATACAGCTTCAAGTAAATCCCCATACAAAAGCATTGGGTAGTGGAGAGTGACCCAGCGCAGAGGGACATCCACGCTGGAAGCAGGTAAGTGAAAAAAGTTTTTTTTAACCATTTCATGGATGCTGGGAAGCTGGGGGCAGAGGGACATTATAGTGTTAGGAATAAATCTTTGTGGCGGAACCAGCCTCGCCACTGGGCATTGGAGAAGACTGATTGCCAGCCTCCTGCCATGTGACTATGGCCCCTGGGATGTATTGCCTGCTCTCCTGTACTGCTGAGGATTGCTACCAACTAGGTGGATTTGGCTATGGAGCTTGTGTAGTGCCCTCTGTTGGTAGCAACAGTAATATGCACTACCTGAATAGCAAGACTGGTAATTTGCATATTCGGGTAGATTTGCATATTGCTAATTCTGCATGCAGGAGAGACATTTTGTGTTAATTATGGTCTTTCCCACCCATTTATAAATATGTAATTATGTTATAATAAGTCACTGTATGTTGCCTGCTATGATTTGACTGTTTGTAATTTTATCGAGTGTTCACAGCAATGGCAATGTAATGACCATATGGGCTAGTCCCAAGTAAATTTAAGTTTTATACAGTTCTAATTCACCCTCTATTTGGAGTCCTGTCTCTAATTGGGGGAATCTGCTACAAGGGATTGCTATACTCTGCATATTCCCTTGCTTTTATCACTCCTAAACTCTTGTAAAGGCTTGTTCCTGCTTCGCTTTGAAGGAAGAGAGGTTCGGCCTGCGGTGGTTGCTAGAGTGCTTGGGGTCCTCAAGAAGCGCTAAGATCATCCTTCAACGGAGGTACCAGTCGGGGTGCCAGGTGATCCATTACAATTTTTCTATTCCTAAAATAAAGTGTTTGTTTAAATCTGTGCATAGTTTGCGTCCATTATCAGCACTCATAGCATGCTGGAGATGGCCGAGAAATGGCGGCACGACATCCGACCTCAGCTGTTGGCTTTCATTCTCCATTGTTTCAGCACCTCCATCAAGTCGCTGATCTTCCTGTCTCTGTCTCCTCAATGACGATTATTTAGTTCAGCTGATCTTGCGTTCATCTCACGAGACCTATCAGCCAGGAATTCTTTAGCTCACGTCTAATGTTGCCTTTCCTTATGCTCCCTATATCTTGATTAATTTAAAACCAAAACCTGGAAAGTAAATAGGCACTTTTACGTCCAGTTCCAGTTGGCTGGCAGACTTGGTGTGTGTCTAATCGGCCCCTGAGCCTCTGCAGTGATTGCATTTTCCTCTCTCTAGCATTGTTCGATATCGCACGTGAATTCCCTCTTCTTCCCGATCTGCCCTTCTCCATTTTCTCCATCTTATTCTACCACAACATGTGAAATCCCTATCACATTAGATTATTAGCAATAATCGCTTGTGCCTAGTCGGAGTGTGCTGGAGGACTCTCTCCTTGCTACGTAGACATTCTTCTTGTGAAATCTTTATACGGGTGTCCCGCCCTGACTGCTACATAGGCTGCTACTGCGCTAATACAAGTCCGATCTATTGCTAATTAGATAACAATAGTAAAGAATCCGTCGGCTCAGGAGTGTAGGCACGAAACAGGAACACAACAATATCACGATTAAAGCTTTGTGCCGAAACTTTGTATTTTTATTTTTTTGTTCAGTTTCCAATAAACCTACAGTTACGTTCCTATCCCGTTGAGCCCTTGGATTCTTTACTATTTCGGTTTTTATCTGGAGACAGTGGTCCTCCACCACAATGTACTAGGCTGGCCATTGGATCTTTCACAGTGCTACACCGGATTCCAATTTTAGATAACACCACGTTCTGTCTAACAGCATGACTGCCTCCATGTTACATTCATTAAACCTGTTTCCTGGTCTTTTATTTCCTGCCTATTGTTAACACCAGATAGGATCAAAATGCTAATCCCATTGGTAATAAAGTCCTCCCTGGGTTATTACAGCAACTGTCCCTCTGCCCCCTTAAATCCTAGTGAACATCTCCGCTATTCTCAGTTGTCACCCACGCCATTCATCCCCTGCTTCCACCAGGTGACCATCAGATGGCCCTCCATGAAAGGCAATGAAGAGCTGAGGCACTGGTCCCCTCAGCCTGTCATTGGATATAATTGGTTCATAATGAGGAAGTATAGTGTTCATATCATCATGGTAGCTGAAGAGCAAGTGGTCAATGAGTACGAGTGAGCCTTGTTTGTGGCCAAAACATGCTCACACAGGAACTCCACCCAAAGCCTCTTTGAATCATAACCACTAGACTGATCTGCAGTGTTTATAATGCTGGCATTTCATCACAAACAACATGAAAGACATTAAAGAAAACAGCATAGTGATATTAAATAATGATATATTTACCAGAGGTCCAGCACCGGCCTCCTTGGTAGCCTCTTCAGAATGGCTAGGCTGGCTAGAGGGTGGGACATCGTCACTCTCTATAGACATGGCTTTGAAAGTTGTGAAGAAAACCGTTGGGAACTCTACAAGACAAAGTGGATAAAAAGATGTAAGACTATAAAAGAAGAGAGATCACAAGTCTGCAATAGGAATATTTTCACATTTTCAGAACGATTGTTGTGTTCTGATTAAAAAAATAACGAAGTAGTTAAAGTAAACTATGAAAACTACAACAGATCGTCTATGAGTAAGTGCCACGTTACCGTGTACCAGGTACCATTCTGGGATTTGGTATTATGCTCCTCTATTTTTGTGTGGTATGAAAATAACATTTTTCAACTATTTGCACAATTCTATCACATTCTACGGTGTGTTTCTTTCCGTTCCACCCTCATTAATTTGATGTAATGCTGACTGGGTAAAATTAAACACATTTCTCACTTATTAATTCACACATAAATCACTCATTATTCTGTCAGACATCCCACTCACACAGGGCTCTCCTGCCTCACCACCATGCTAACTCTGCCACAGAGCTGTGCTACTCTGGTAAAAAGGTTCATTTTAATTATGGAAATCTGTAGGTGTACATCCCACTCACAATAATATTGGGGAATCCTCTGTGCTTCACTGCAGGTATACCATGGCTCACAGGGTCTTAACCTACAATGCTTGAAAACACTAGATTGTAGATCGTAAGCTCTGCTGGATGGATCTCATCATAACCATAGATTGTAAGCTCTGCTGGATGGATCTCATCATAACCATAGATTGTAAGCTCTGCTGGATGGATCTCATCATAACCATAGATTGTAAGCTCTGCTGGATGGATCTCATCATAACCATAGATTGTAAGCTCTTCTGACCAGATATCATAACCATAGATTGTAAGCTCTTCTGACCAAATATAACACTAGATTGTAAGCTCTGCTGGATGGATATCATCATAACCATAGATTGTAAGCTCTTCTGACCTGATATCATAACCATAGATTGTAAGCTCTTCTGACCAAATATAACACTAGATTGTAAACTCTGCTGGATGGATCTCATCAAAACCATAGATTGTAAGCTCTTCTGACCAGATATCATAACCATATGTTATATTTGGTAAGCTCTTCTGACCAAATATAACACTAGATTGTAAGCTCTGCTGGATTGATCTCATCATAACCATAGATTGTAAACTCTTCTGGACAGATTTAATAATAACATTAAATTACAAGCTCTTCTGCTCAGATCTCAGCTTTGTCGTCTATTTTGCTGTAATGTAAGCTTTTGTTGAGTAGGGTTATGCAATTTATTGATACATTGAATGCGTTTATCCCATTATTATACCGGATTACAGCTTCCTAGAGTGGGTCACCCTTTAGATCATTAGATTGCAAGCTCCTTTGTACACTATTGCCTGCTATGGCACAAATTCGCCTAATCTGTCACATTGTATTATTAGGTCTCTTAAGGCCAAAGGCTCTTGGGAAATGTAGTAATTTTTAATGCATTCTTGCAGAATTGATTTTCCATAATTGTTCCCACTGATCAGCTGAATTTAATGTATCAGACATAGATTCATTGATGGTCTGAGGTTTGAGGGCTTTGCCAGAGCCACCAGCATTGCCACTTTATTTTTCTAAGCTGCCCTAGCACAGGGTCACTTCATACATGGAGAATGTGTTTTAATTCAGCAATTTCTGTCTAATCACTGCAATCTGCTGGTTAGTTTTACTGAGTAAACCCTAAGATGCTCGATTATTTCATACATCTGATTAGTTGCAGAATACCTACCTTGCGGATAGTCTGATCCTGTTGGTTTGGTAATATTAAGGTCCATTTGTCACCAATCGATGCCTGCATACCCAGTCTCGGAGGAATCAAGACATCCAGCCTGGTTTTAATTGCAATGTTCTAGCATGAGCAGGAAGTAAACTGCAAACCACAACTCATTATACTGGCAAGAAAAAAAATGCAAAACTCAGCCTAAAAACGAGTACACTGCCGACTGACGTCATGGAGAAATCACACGCAGAACAAGGTGAGAAAAATGTACGCTAGTGTCTTTGAGGAACAGTCAACTGGCTGATCTCTGACCTGCTTTTTGTGCTATGGATGGGTGAAAGGGCGTTTAATGTGTCTCGTTCTGTGTCGCCATAAATAAACGCAATGTGCCCAACAGTAACGAGCGGGGGAAAGCAGCGGGTTTAAATAATGGGTTACATACCAGACCTTGTGTGACCATGGAAGAAACCCTGCAGAACTCTCAGCCAATATGTATTGGGGTAGCGTGACGGACTCCATTTTGAAAGCTCCCATCATCACAAAATCAAAAACCAGACTATCAGAAGGGGGCAGTATGGCTTCTGGGAGGACTTGGTGGACGCCGGCTCTTAGAGTAATGGTGATAGCTGGATGCAATCAGAATAAAACACTTGGTCTATCTGGTGATCTCTCCACGTAGATCCCTGAGTCGGACAAACTCACAATCTGAACTTCTCTCTCCTCGCCAAAAAGCAATATCTGTTCAGCGAAGGGAACTGTACCTTCGTTAGAAATAACCTCATTGAAAATAAAACATTGAAAATCACTTATAACATGCATTAACCTTTTTTTAAAACTTGTTTCACTATTTTTCAAAGCTTATGTATCACATACTCCAGGAGTACGCAAGCTTCAGCACTGCGGATATTGTGTACTGCATCTCCTATAATACAAATAAATACAAAGTCGTGTAAAACTTCTAAATAAAGTGCTGTGTGCAAAAACACAAGATAAGTGCAATATTATAATAAAATGGTAAAGTTAATATTTAACATTAGAACAACAACAAACAGTTAATAGGTATACACTGGACATGATACTATGTAAACCTAAACAATACAAATATATTGTGTATTAATGTACAGTCCCCATAATACTCTTACTGCAAGCAAAGCATCATGGGAGATATAGTCCATAACATTTGGAATGCATAGGCTGCCTACTGTGTGATATACTCATCCGAGGGATATATGTAAAACGAACAAAGACAATCAACATTTCTGGTGTTAGATGTTATAGATATAGGTAAATATCTGTATGTTGTAGAATAGAACACACTCACAATCCAGCTCAGCCCTGGCACAGCCAAGGCACACATTGCATCGCTTCTGTGTCTTTTCCTCTGTATAATAAGGTACGGAGGTCCCCTGTCTCCCCACACAGTGTATTATAACTGCAACTATAAGGTTATGGTGTAAGGAGGTCCCCTGTCTCCCCGCACACAGTGTATTATAACTGCAACTATAAGGTTATGGTTTAAGGAGGTCTCCTGTCGCCCCGCACACAGTGTATTATAACTGCAGCTATAAGGTTATGGTGTAAGGAGGCCCCCTGTCTCCCCGCACACAGTGTATTATAACTGCAACTATAAGGTTATGGTTTAAGGAGGTCTCCTGTCGCCCCGCACACAGTGTATTATAACTGCAGCTATAAGGTTATGGTGTAAGGAGGTCCCCTGTCTCCCCGCACACAGTGTATTATAACTGCAGCTATAAGGTTATGGTGTAAGGAGGTCACCTGTCTCCCCGCACACAGTGTATTATAACTGCAGCTATAAGGTTATGGTGTAAGGAGGTCCCCTGTCTCCCCGCACACAGTGTATTATAACTGCAGCTATAAGGTTATGGTGTAAGGAGGTCCCCTGTCTCCCCGCACACAGTGTATTATAACTGCAGCTATAAGGTTATGGTGTAAGGAGGTCCCCTGTCTCCCCGCACACAGTGTATTATAACTGCAGCTATAAGGTTATGGTGTAAGGAGGTCCCCTGTCTCCCCGCACACAGTGTATTATAACTGCAGCTATAAGGTTATGGTGTAAGGAGGTCCCCTGTCTCCCCGCACACAGTGTATTATAACTGCAGCTATAAGGTTATGGTGTAAGGAGGTCCCCTGTCTCCCCGCACACAGTGTATTATAACTGCAGCTATAAGGTTATGGTGTAAGGAGGTCCCCTGTCTCCCTGCACACAGTGTATTATAACTGCAGCTATAAGGTTATGGTGTAAGGAGGTCCCCTGTCTCCCCGCACACAGTGTATTATAACTGCAGCTATAAGGTTATGGTGTAAGGAGGTCCCCTGTCTCCCCGCACACAGTGTATTATAACTGCAGCTATAAGGTTATGGTGTAAGAAGGTCCCCTGTCTGCCCACACACAGTGTATTATAACTACAGCTATTAGGCTATGGTGTAAGGAGGTCGCCTGTCTCCCCGCACACAGTGTATTATAACTGCAGCTATAAAGGTTATGGTGTAAGGAGGTCCCCTGTCTCTCCGCACACAGTGTATTATAACTGCAGCTATAAGGTTATGGTGTAAGGAGGTCCCCTGTCTCCCCGCACGCAGTGTATTATAACTGCAGCTATAAGGTTACGGTGTAAGGAGGCCCCCTGTCTCCCCGCACACAGTGTATTATAACTGCAGCTATAAGGTTATGGTGTAAGAGTCCCCTGTCTCCCAGCACACAGTGTATTATAACTGCAGCTATAAGATTTATGGTGTAAGGGTCCCCAATGCCGCACACAGTGTGACCCATAGCTTACAGCTATAAGATTGCATGGTGTAAGGAGGGTCCCACCAACCACGGCACACGGTATACGATACTCCAACTGCGGCTATAAGGTTATGGTGTAAGGAGGTCCCCTGTCTCCCCGCACACAGTGTATTATAACTGCAGCTATAATGTTATGGTGTAAGGAGGTCCCCTGTCTCCCTGCACACAGTGTATTATAACTGCAGCTATAAGGTTATGGTGTAAGGAGGTCCCCTGTGCCACTTTTGGTGTATTATAGCACACGGCCCAGGTTGGTGTAGGGGAGGGTCCCCCTTTCTCACACAGTGTATTTCCTGGCTTTCACAGCTATAAGGTTATGGTGTAAGGGTCCCCTGTCTCTCCCACTTTTACAGTGTGTTCCCTAACTGCAGAAGCTCACCCAGGTTGCATGGTGTAGGGAGGTCCCCTGTCTCCCCGCGCGCACACGAGGGTGTATTCTAACTGCAGCTGGGGCGTGGCTACCAGCTCCCTCTATGTAATAAATAACCCTCCTCCCTGCATTAAAACCTATGGGGGTCACTATGACCCCCATATTGATAAAAGGGAGATTAAATCCTCCTGCATGCCCCTACTTGCGGTATGCTGCCAACAGGGGCATGTCGCCTAAACAGTGAGCAGCCAGTGGCTGCTTGCTGTCATTTAAAATTACTGGTGACTGGACAGCTATTACTGCCCAGTCGCAAGTGAAATAAAGGAGGACCTGGCACAGGTCCCCCTGTTCCCCCTTGGTGGGAAAAACACATAACTCAAATGGGGGGGACATAGTGCCCCCCTGCACACCTACCCGTGACCCAGGTGGGGTGCTATTATATAATCGGGGGACCTAATGTCCCCCCCAGGTCCTCACCCATGGGCAGTGGGTGGGGACCCTAATAAATTAAATAATGGGGGGGACATTAACTAGCTGCCCAGTCACTAGTTAAATGACAGCGAGCAGCCACTGACTGCTCACTGTTTAGGCAACATGTGCATGCAGGTGGATTTAACCTCCCTTTTATTAATATAGGGGTCATAGTGACCCCAATAGGTTTTAATGCAGGACGGGGGTAGGAATAGTTATTTATTTATAACAAGTAGGGAGGAGGGAGCTGGTAGCGCTGCCGGTTCCCTCTTTTGTTTTGTTTTTGTGCCTATGCACAGTGCTGTTTTTGTTCTAACGGATGAAAACAATTTATTTTTTAATGAATTTCGTTCGAAAACGAATGGTTTGTGGACGAATTCGGGATTGACAAATGAAATTTTTTATTTAGTATGAAATCATTCATACGAAACAAATATTTCACTGGTGCACATGTCTACTGTGCAGCACTGTCCCAGGAAGCACCTCTAGTAACCATCTGAGGATTTGCCAGCAGGGGGTTCCCTAGGCTGTAATATAAACATTGCATTTTCTCTGAAAAGACCATGTTTACTGCAAAAAAATGAATGATTTTGGAATGAATGATTCTACTCACCCGAACAAATACAATAAGCTGTAGTTGTTCTGGTGACTATAGTGTCCCTTTAAGTCTTCACTTTGATCGTCCTTATATTCCACAATGCTTCTCCCAACAATCTTACTTTAAAATGTTCTCTAACCTGTTAATACACCTGAACATTTCAAGACAAGGTCCAATAAATTATTAGAATCAATCTATTTATTGTGCTAGCAAAATAGCCCTCAAATATTCAGATTAGGGAGTTTACGCTAGGCTGAAATACCTAAACTAGAATTACAGCTATGAGTTGAAATATTTCTTAAATTAACTGTTTGCCTAAATTCTGCAATTCAGATTTGCTACAATTTGAAGTTTAGTGATAATATTATAAAAGTTACATATGTTTGCTTTTAGGCCTTTGTTTTTAGCTCTGCGCTAATGACCATTCTACAATAATGTAAGTTCTGTGCTCATACAGATCATTCTACAATAATGTAAGTTCTGTGCTCATACAGACCATTCTACAATAAGGTAAGTGTTGTGGGATACTTAGTGAGGTTTAATGGGCATAACTACTGCAGCCTCACTACTTGTTAATAAAACTACAAGTGTCAAAGTATTTAGCAAGAAATTGTACATTTATCTTGTCACCAGTCCTCAGATACCTTTTAGGTTGTAAATGTTATTTTTAACCAACTTAATGTTATTCATTTTATAGGTCTTTCAAGGATGAAAAGCTGGAAAGACCTTATTGGAAAATGAACCTCTGGCACAGAGCTTTGTTATAATGACATACATGACAAGTTCAGTGTCTCTTTGCAAAGGAGGGAGAAACGGAATGTCAGTCACACTGTGCTGCACTGCCCCAGGAAGCACATCTAGTAACCATCTGAGGAGTGGCCAGTAGAGGTATTCCTAGGCTATACTGTAAGCACTGCCTTTTCTCTAAAAAGATGGAGTTTGCTGCAAAAAGCCTGAAGGGCTCCTTGAAGAAATGTCACCAGAACAAATACAAAAAGCTGTAGTTGTCCAGGTGACTAGCGTGTCACTTTAAGAATAAACAGAATTTAAGCTATACATTCACTGGGAATTCATTAAGGACAATATAGGGATGATGTTTAATTTTTTTATAAAGTACTGTCATGTCATATTTGACTAATCTCTTTTTCTAACCTGATTTCTTTTGTTGCATAGCATTCCTAAAATGGCGTTTCCAGCAGGTTCAGACCAATGATACTTCTCTCATGATCCAGCACTTCTGAATGATTCAGAGATTGCTGCAGGTTATCATGCTGATGCTCTGACTCACCGAGAAGCACCACGTAGTGAGAGGTGCAAGTGGTCTGCTCACACACATGGTGCAGGCCACAGTCTCCATTCAACACACCATAAAATCTCATCATGGCTTTACACCACCCTACTTGGCCAAAGGTAAGCAAGAGAAAGAAGGGCATACACTTCACAATTAATATTTTTATATTACATATTTTTTATAAAACAAAAACTATTTATTATACAGTGTCACAATAAGGACCCTCCATGCACAACACCACTGCAAAACAACCAACACACATTCATAATATGCTATATCACAAACAGCACTCGCATACTCAGCACCACGTACAACAGACGTGCACAAAAAACATAGACAGCCTACACACATGCATGATACACATAAAACCACAGCACACAATCTCACCATACACAGCACACACACATCCTCACAAAGCAGAAGCTGCACTCATACTCAACACAAGCATAATTCTTCAATATTCTATTAAAATTAAAATTGGGTGGGTTTTCAAAGTACAACCAAAAGGTTTCCTACCCCTGATGTTCATTATTACAGATAAATATGTCACGTGCAAGGACATTGTCTGATGTCCCCAAACACACGGTAATACATGACCGTAATGTGCGCTATGTTCTAAATTTAGGTCGTCCTACCTGCCTTTCTCATCAACATGGATTAGCTAAGTGATTGGTTGAACAGCTCGTTTGAGCAGGGTCCTCTTCAACCGATTGTTCCTGTAAGTTTTCTGGTAATTGTCCTATTTATAGTTACACCCCCCTCTCAAAATATTGTAAAGCGCTACGGAATCTGTTGGCGCTATATAAATGGCAATAATAATAATAACAATAAGATAATGATAACAGACTATTGTTGCATATTCAGTAATCTGGTATTAACCACTAGAGCAATGATCTGGTATTGTGTATTACATTTGTATGTGTCATGCTTTACATAAAATTTGGTAATTTAGTTAAATTAAAAAACAAAACATTCTAGGTTGTATGTGTATGTGTTTCTTTATAATTGGATTTTGGATTAATTAAATATTCGCCTTTTGGAGAAAAACAACAACTTTATGTTAACACCCTAATTTTGAAAACATATCAAAAGTGTACTCTAAATTCAGAGAATGCAAATCGCAGTCCTCGAAGCAATGTTACTAATGGAGTTACACCACAGCAGAAATGATATTCTAATTAAATAACATCGAGTAACTTTCGCTTGAATTTGCTGGTAGACAAATATCTTCTTCCTGATTTATTCGGCCAGTAACACTCTGGAAACAAACACATTTCTGTAATAATGTAGTCAAACACCCGATCCATTAACAATCTAGATGAGATGCAATTAACTACAAAACAAAAATGATTTTAGACTATCAATTAAGTTTTCTTCCTCCTTCAAAATGTAATACATTTTCTGGAAAGTGCTTTGGTATTGTGCACAAATTAAAAATCCTATTTTACTCAAATAATGCCTATTTAAAAATACTTTCACACTCAAATGAAAGAACAATTGGCAGATCTTTGCTGCTAATTATCTTAATTCACCAGACAAAGTATGCATGGTAAAATATAAGGCAGAATGCGATTTCAGTGTTACTGGATCTATTAAGGATCATTTTACTTTACTGATGACCATGTGGTTAGGTTGAATTATTTGAAAGGATTAAAGCAGGCTCTAGTGACTTACTTTTCCTGCACTTTAGCACCCCAGGGTCTGATGAAGTGCATCAGCTATCACCAAAATTACATATATTAAAGGGACACTAAAACATTATGAATACAAAACTGTATTCCTAGCATTTTAGTACCCCTGTCCCAACTTATATTAAGGTACCCCCACTGTGTGTAGTAAAAATATAAGATAATTAAAGATTTACTTACCTTTTTCCCGCATTGAGGCTGCCTTGGTGCCGTACCTCTTCACCTTCCGAAACATCACAAAAAAGACATTCCCTCCACCGGCATGGTCTAACCCAGATGCAGACATTACTCTTGCCAAAATAGATGTGTCAAGCTTGTACATAGTTATTCTCTATGAAATTGAGGCTGTTTAGAAATTGGTGAGTTATTCCCCATATTATCATGGTCTCAAAATTGAATTTCTGTTGGACAAACTGGCAAATAATTTAAATTATTTTAAATTTGAACACAAATTCAAAGTACTGGAAATGCAATGGAGGCGATGATGGTACCCTCATATGCAAATACATTTATGTATGAATTTGAGTACACCTACTTGAAGGAGATTTTTGGTGACCAGAGGCTTTTATATAAATGCTATATAGATGATTCTTCATTATCTGGTGTGGGAATTGAGCAAGCTTTGAGAAAGCCATGGTAAATGCACTACCTACGACTCTGGAAGACGATTTCTGGATTTATGCATTACCAGGAAAGGCACAATTCTTGAATATTAATTGTTTAAAAATGAGACAGACAGAAATACTCTCTTGCATCAAAAGAGTTTTCATTCTCCACATGTTTGAGGCAATACATTATAGAATGTTTTTACATGTGTTGAGGAATAATTTGGATAACGCTGTGGCTCAACCACATTTACAGGAAATGTTTGGTTGCTTGATCCAAAGAGGTTATACTCCTGCCTCATTAATAACACAAATTAAAAGATCTAAGGAAACAGTGTATGCAACAGGGGTTATAATGATATCCAAGAAAGAGGAAGATAAGGCTCAGCAACCTGGGCTTTTTTTCTGTAAAATACAGTATGATACAGCATCCAAGTTTGCCTCTAACAACATCAGATCAAACTGGAATATCTTGTCTACAGATAGGACTTTAGAGGATTGCTTTAAATGTCCACTTATGATGAGCTTTTCTAATGGAAAAAGTAGACGACTGACGAATCGACTCGAATCAGACGAGTCTGACGAATCCACATCACTGTTATGATAATAATTGGCTACAAAATACCTCAAAGAACACCGCCTGCTACCGATGTAGTGGTTGTGTCATGTGGCCACGTGATCCAGACCCAATTCTTTGTGCATCCAAGAAAGTATAAGCAACGTTAGATTAATCATTACATTACTTATACATCAGAATATGAGATTTACAAAATATCATGCCTATGTGAAACTGATTACATTTGAAAGACAGACCTGACACACAGGAATTGAATAGGTTGGCATAGGTTGGCAATCAACACGGCTTATCAGAATGAAGTGGCTGACACAAACTGGTGGCCAAAAATGTATTGGAAAAGAGACATGATTTGGCCATATTAACATGTGTTGCTATTGATACTGTTCCACACTTAAAAAGGGGGGGAGACTGCAGGGCAAGGGTACACCAGGTCACATGGCGATACAAACATACTGGAAACGGATAATAGCCATCATACACTCCATCACTGGACAGCGCATACAGTGCACCCCGAAAACAACCCAATTCCTTTTGTACCCCTCACCAAACCAATAAAAACATGCACACTCATAAACCACCTCCTGACAGCTGCTAACATACTGATCCCCTACACTGGAAAAACACATCGGCGCCTCCACTCAGAACTTGGATTCAGAAAGTAGGAGCTGATTTTCTCATTGATGCACTCATATCCACGATACCTAGCAATCTGGAAACCCTGGATCAATTATATGACACTGGAGGGGAGAGCCTAGAGTACCTATGAGTACTAGATCACAATCAGCTTCTTGCCCCCCCCCCCATCCTCCCCGACACTAAACCGGGGCTAAGACACAGGAGCCTAGTGAATAATATGTCCATAATATTGTAATTTGGGGTGTTTTGTATCTATTACAGGGTGAATTTATTCTGACGGGCCTGGCAATCATTATAAACTTGCATGTTAATATATTAATTATACTGTATATATTCTTCCCAGTTCATCAGTACTGTGCTACAATGCAGCGCATGACACTTTTAGCTGTATTGAATAAGCAGTTTGTTCAGCATATGATTGCTCCTGTACATCTATTTTGTTATGGCACCTTTGATCTCATCTCATTAGGAGAGCACTTGCTAAACATATTACTATACAAGTGACATTAACAGGCATAACACTGTTTCTGTGTGAAGCACTGTTTAACAAACTATCACTCATAGTATCTGTGGGATGTGCTGAAAAAACAAATCCGAATCATGATGACCCAACCTCGCAACTTGCAGGACTTAAAGGACCTGCTGCTAATGTCTTGGTGCCCGATACCACAGAACACGTTCAGAGGTCTTGTGGAGTCCATGCCTTGGCAACATGAGGAGACCTACATGATATCTGACAGGTGGTTTTAATGTTGTCGCTGATCAGTGTATATGTATTTATGTTCTTTAGATTAAGTGCTAAAGTTACATAATGTTGACAATAAACATTTTTTTTTTCAGATGTATTTTATTTCTTTTTTGGGACTATATTTTTTAAAAAGGAATACAGGACATTTTGTAATTATTTAAATTTGCCAATAATGATTGTAATGTAAATTGGGAAAATTATTTGAAAAGCCTGCAATCTGTCTTTGATGGTATTTTGCTATGTTTGCAGCAGCAGGGGTGTCATCCAAGAGCTGTTTATTATACTGCGAGATTGCAGAAGAAAATATATGAAAAAAATATACTGCTGGAGATAATGCCAAGTGCACGTGTGTCCAGCATGTCCCTGCTCGCTGCCTGAATCTGTAGGTGCATGCCCAATGCATTATAACACAGCAAATCACCAGGAGGAAAGATTTTACTTACCTCTACTACGTTATTTACCCCGGTGAATGTTGCAATTGCGTTTACTGGGATGAAGGTACAATCAGCTGTCGCTACTCTGGACGTGATATCCATCTTTAAATAACATTGTTACAGGTTAATATCCGCAGAGCTCTTTTTTTTTTTGTGAAGCCCTTCTCCAACAGATGTATATCACAGAAGTTCAGCTTTCTGTGTGATCTAGTCTGTTATATTCCTAATGAGCTTGGTGATATGTGGTCAATCAGCACAGCAGTTCCCAGGATGTGTTTAATTAGATCACTGTTGGACGGAATAGTAAAACATATGTCTCTGTTGCGTTTGGAGCAGACACTCACAGTCACATGCAGGTAAAGATATATTATTTATGGTACATGGGGTGGATAAACACTCA